GATACAACATGATAAACTAGACAAACAATGAAAATAAACAAACAAAAGTTATTTACCAAGACCTTCTCTCTGAGAACAGAGGGTAAGAGATGGAAGGGAGATAAGAAGGCTATTTATAGCCCGTCTTTGTGTCGGAAGTGATGCACTATAAATAATTCATTTAAAATTAATTTTTTTACATAGAATATTCAGTACATGACTGCGATTATAAAATATTGTGAATTAATATATTAAATGTGTGTATATATATATATATATATATATATATATATATATATATATATATATATATATATATATATATATATATATATATATATATATATATATATATATATATATATATATATATATATATGATTTTATCTTATCCACGTTTTCATTGTGGATTTACATGGGAACTTCGTGTTTTCTTCTTTCCTTGTGGTTATCAGCATATATATATATATATAAATATATATATATATACATATATATATATATACAGTATATATATATATACAGTATATATATATATGCAGTCGACCCTCGTTAAAACGGACTAATAGGGGGGGAAGGGTGTCCGTTTTAGCCGATTGTCCGAATCAACCGATTTAGGGGTTAATATTGCATAATATTGCATTATACAGCTATGTGTATGTTTATTTGAGTGCCCCGTCATAGGAGTCCGTTTTCTCTCACTTCAGGCTGTTTTCTCTTAATCATAGAGTGCAGTACACCAGTGACTTCTTTATTTCTTAGAAATGACACAGAATTTGAAATTGCAACTGGGGTTGCAATTGTTGAGGCAACTTAGGTATGTCTGATTACAGTTGGAATATTCAAGATCCATTGTGAGTGATGTTTAAAGCTTCAACTGTCTTTATGGTTGGTAAAACTTGTCAAGTCTGTCAGTCTGAATGGCATGTGTGAGGCCTTGTGTTTGTACAACCGCTAAATATATAAATATATAATGTTATGGTAATTATCAGAAACACATAGGCATGACGAGGTTTATTACTAAGTGATGAAAAGGATACTGTAAAGTGGGTAGTCCACAAAACATGTAGCTATGTCTCTCTTTATTTGAGTGGCCCGTCATAGGAGTCCGTTTTCTCTCACTTCAGGACGCCTGAGTCGACCTTTTTATCTTAATCTTAGAGTGCAGTACACCAGTGACTTCTTTATTTTCTTAGTAATGACACAGAATTTGAAATTGCAACCCCAATTGCAACTGGGACAATCCCAGAACCAGAAATTTGATATGGACAGTTCAGATTTCGTCCGATTTATCCTAAATCCAGATTAAAGGGGTTTGAATTAACGAGGGTCCACTGTATATATATATATACAGTTGGTCCTCATATTACGCGGTCCCGCATTCCGCGTTTCACCGTTAACGCGGTGCCTTGCCAGAACCTAACATTTTCACATTCCGCGGTCGTGAACCCCATTACGCGGAGAGCGGCTGGCAAGCCGCGCCATTTTTGGATCCAAACCTCCCGCCATCCGCCATGTTGTGTAAGAGGCGCGAAAATGGTGCGCACAAGGTCGCCCAGTCATCAAAACATTACCAGTTCTTCACCCACTACAGCCGGCCCAAGTCAGTGATAGTGATAATTATAGTGAGGATATGGACTTGTATGAACTTTGGGGGGTTTGACAAAGAGGCCCTGCAAGCCTCTGTGGTGGATAGTGATACAAGTGATACAGGTGAGGGCCAATAATCTGCCCTCTGCCTCGGAACCAACCGCCCATCCCCGTGTGCCCAGCCATCTTTTCTACTAATGTAAGTGTTAAAAAACCTAATATTATTGATATTTCTCTTAATTATTAATTGTGTGTGCATGCCATCATAAAGTTAAGATAATATTTTTACTACAACATAGTTGTGTGTCGTCAAAAAGTGGAGTTTGGGGATCGGCCCGGACTCCATTTCAATTAATCCCATATGTTATGTTATTCACTTTACGCGTTTCTCACTTTCCGCGGTACCCTCCGGGTTACATTAACCGCGTAATATGAGGACCAACTGTATATATATATATATATATATATATATATATATATATATATATATATATATATATATATATATATATATATATATATATATATATATATATATATATATATATATATATATATATATATATATATAGATAGATAGATAGATAGATAGATAGATAGATAGATAGATAGATAGATAGATAGATAGATAGATAGATAGATAGATAGATAGATTTGTGTAGTAAATGTATGTAGTAAGTATGTACAGTAATCTTTTTCACTCAAATCCTAATGCAACACTAATGAATTAGAATACGGTAGCTGGTGGGAACAGTCCCACCACCGATTGTCTCTCGTGAAGCAAGCTTATAAATTAAAGAAAATACTTGCAGTGTGTTTAATACTTTACAGTATGTTATAAATAAATAAATAAATAAATAAATAAATCGGTAAATCTATTTCAAGTAAATGGAAAAATTTTACTCGACACCGACATTAGTTCCAGTTAAATAACAGATGCTTAAGTGAGTCACTAGTGTTTACACTACACCAACCGGTAATATTTGATACCATTACTTGAAGTGAATTGGCCTTATTTTAAAAAACCAAGGATGTGTAAACAGCTTTGGTCAATGGGATGGTTGGTAAAGGACTACTGGGTCAGTAAGCTCCCAATGGTAAGTGTCACATTTGGGGTACTGGTCTTATACAGCGGATACAGCTCAAAAGCTACTTTTTAAATGGAAATTTTTGGGGTCGTCTTATACACCCCGTTGCCTTGTAGGCTGAGATATACGTAGCGTTTGTTAAAGCCATTTTGGAATAAATTATTTCCTTTTAAATCATGTAAACTATAATTTCTTGATTTGATAATTCGTGATGTCTTCTGGTAATTAACCCATGAATTATCACGACTCCAATGTACATCCATCGTTGCTTCTGCCTTAGCTCCCAATAGGTGTCTCCAACTGCTGACAAGGGTGTTTTTGAGAGACCTCATTCACGGTTACCTTCAAGTTCTGGAGTGCATGAAGGATATTGTAATCCTTGAGATTTTTAAGGTTTTGCAGCATGTGTGTCATCCTCTCCCTCAGGCACTGTTTCCACGACCATGACATCATTCAGCAGGAGGCACCTTTAATACCTCTTTCAGATGAGGATGGTGTCCTGATTGAGGGGCTGATGCAATGAAGTGTTGTTTAGAGGTAGAAATTTAACCTTGATCAGGCCATCACTGCTCAGGAGTTTCTCCTCACTTGGGCATGCAGGTGCATAATCTAGAAACAGTAACACCTTGACCTCATGCCTTTCTCCTATATCTGAAAGGCCCAGGCAGTGGGCACAAACATATGGTGGAACCATTCCATGAACTACTCACAGGTGAACCATGCCCTCTTGTTGGCCCTCCAGGACACTGTCAGGTGATCCATGATGTTTCAAACACCATCATCTTTATCCTGTGGGAGCCATCTGCACTAGCACACAGAAACAGACACACATGCAGCTTATTGCCATTGAGTCCTGGGGTACTGGACACCCTCCTTGCTGACAGGGTATTTTCATGTAGGGACTTCCAGAACATGGCCATTTCATCCACATTTTAGAGCTCATAACTGAGTGTAATTGTTCTTTTTGAATGCCAGCATCTCACTGAAGAGCATCACGGTTGCCGCCCACAACCTCCACCAAACCCAGTCACTTGAAAAATTTCATAAAATCTTGTGGACTGCCACTTGCACACTGCTGCTTATTCCTGTCTTCCATTGTCATATCCACTTTTTCGTACCTCACAGTGCCCATCTTTTTTTGTTTCAAGCTTTCGTCTTTAGACTGACCAGGCATTGTTTTAGAAACATAATTTTTTTTCCCTTGCATATTTAACATTGCAAATGTTTAGTGAACCTATGCCATACTCTGTCATCAGATATTTCACTGGCATGATTTTAACCCCTTGTGTACAAGGTCACCTCCGAGCTCGATAAATCAGCTGGCATTTGTCAAATAAAATATTAAGACTGGTGTCCCATAGTGAAAGGGTTAATGAGCTTCTCCAACTTTTTGTTGAAGCCATCATGCTTATGCTTTTCCCCCCTGCCCCTTTCTTGCCAACACGTAGGCATGGTGAAAAGCTAAAAAACACGGTCCATAAAAATGCAGCGTAACATGTAAATTGTGTATACACCACAGTAGTCACATATCAATAGAGTGTGGGTGGTGGGAATGCAGGGGCAAGTGAGTCACTGATTATCCCTTGATAAGGCTGGCCAATAGGAACAGTGTGTGGATGTAGTGCATGGTGAGGGGAATGATACCCAGGTAGCATCTACCAGTATACACATGTAACACACCACATGTTGAAACAAAGGCAGTACCAGAAAATGTTCCTGATACTGGAAAAGAAGAAATATTTCCTGAAAAATTCCTGAACCCCTTTTCAATTCTGGTTATGAGAATTTTACAGTACAGTATCCTGAATTCTGTTACTGAGAGAGTTTACTGGACACACAGAAGGGTGCATCAGTCTGCTTAAAAACTGCCAGCAGAATCTGCTTGAGACCTTACATAATATGGTAATTTTGTACAGTATTCAGAAAACTCTTCCACCCACACCTGACGGTTCACATTTGCTTCTGATACTTTGTTACTTCCTAATAATCCTCTACATATTCCTCTAGTAATTTATACTTTTAACATTCTCTGTTGTATCACTCAACTTTGTGAATGCTGATCTTCCACTTGCCTTGCTGAAAATATTACCTCAATGATTTAAGCCTGTACTGGACTGTATTTCTTATGTTATACACAATGTATCAATACAAAAAGTTATAATTGTTTGTGAACCTTTAAGTACATACTGTAGTCCATGCCAAGTAATTTGGGTTTGGAAGTAAGTATGAAAAAAGTACTGTAAATGGAATTGCATTGTTGTAAATACAGTAGATAGAAAGTGTTCATCTTATTTAATCTGTTTGGTTTCTGCCATATATTTTACTTTGACTCTTTTATCTAAGGTACTAAATGAGAAGATCAAGGAGCTAAACCAAGGAGATGGCAGTGTAGTTAAGGGGAAGGTTTTTAAGCGCACTAAATTTAACTCTTACGTATGCAACTCCAAAACCATTAAACTTCTCTACAATGCTGTACGTGAATACCGGGACGCCGAAGGGCGACAATTATCAGAAGTCTTCCTTAAGCTGCCGTCCAAGGCTCTCTATCCTGATTATTATGAGGTGAGTGAAATATTGTACTGTACTATAAGTTAACAAACCCTGGATTCTTAGAATAATGACATGTGATGTTGGGGTGGCATGAAGCAACATACAGTAGGTATACCAGAGGGATGTACTGGGGCCTTGTGAAAGAGGTGCACCCTAACATAATTTAATAGAACAGCCTAAACAAAAGAGTTTGTCTTGTCTCTAACCACCTTGTGCTGTACCAATAAATGGCTTGCAGGAATGAAAAAAGTTTTGTGTTTATGGTGCGGACTGAAGGATGAATAACACAAATATAAATTGGCATTAGATCTGTAAAGTGGGACACATTAGCAGTGTTATTATATATGTAGGGCTAAATGTGTCTGTTGTAAGATAATGTAGATTGATAAAAGTGGGGAGTATTTTTCGGAAGAATTGTATATACTACAGGTTGTACCTCTCTAGTCCGGCAACCTCAGGACCTGACCGGTGCCGGACCATGGAAATTCACCCTTTTCCTGGATAGGTAGTGACTTGTGCTTATGCTTGGAAGCACTAGCACCACTTTCTCTGCGTCATGGTCTCTTTGAAGACATATTGAAGGGTTAAATGTCGTATAGTAGCTTCTCAAATTTCGCGAGTTTTTAATTCAACGTATTTTATTGGAACACAAACACAAAAAAATATAAAAATAAAAATATTGACGGCGGAAACTTGAATTTCAACGGGTTTGAACGGCCCGCCAACGTGCAGACGACGTGCATAATCGTGTAAACAGCATCATTTCTCTTATGTACAAAAGATTCATTATTGTTTATTACTGAATGTCTTTTTATTGAATTAATGTTTATGTGTGCAAAATGAGCAATACAATTCATTAATAATACGTAGAATATTAAAACACACGAGGAAATGACACAGCATTGTTTTCGTTGATTACAAAACCAGTGACTGACTGGTTCTACATATAAAACTGAAGAAAATAAAACCTTGGTTGTAGCTGTAGTAAAATTAATATGGTTGTTTTAAGTAATGTTATTTATTGTTAATAAATGGAACAATAGAAGTAGCTAACGATAATGGTAAAGAAAAAAGAGAGATCGCGTATGTAAGTGTGCACACGTGAAAACATATCGTCATTACTTTACATAAGAATATGAAAGCAACACTTATTTACTGTTCATATAAATTTTAATTAATGTTTCTGAATTTGTTTTTATCGAATTAATGTTTGTGTGTGCAAAATTAACAATACAATCTATTAATAATATGTGAAATATGAAAACACACGATGAGACGAGACGGCTGCCGGCATTGTTTATGTTAAAGCTTACAAAACCAGTGACTGATTGTTTCTACATATAAAACTGAAGAAAATAAGACCCTGATTGTAGCTGTAGTAAAATTAATGTAAAAAAATTTATATGGTTGTTTGAAGTACCTGTAACGTTATTTAATGTTAATAAATGGAACAATATAAGTAGCTAACCATTAATGGTAAAAAAAAGTGAGACTGCGCATATGTAAGTGCGCACATGTGAAAACATATCGTCATTACTCTACATAAGAATATGAAAGCAACACTTATTTACTGCTCATATATATTGAAGGGTTAAATGTTGTACTCTGTATAGACAAGCAGAGAGAGAGAGAAAGAGAGCAGCCGAACTGCCGGATGTAAACAAACCTTAATTTCCCGCGGCTTTGTTGTTGTTGTTTTTTTATGGGGATAGCCCACCCGGGCATAGGTCACTGACCCACATTGGGGCCTGAGGGCCAAAAATTTAATACTCCTGTAATAATAATTCAGATAAGTAAAAAAAAAAGGGGGGGGGCTGCCTATCTACCTATTGGACAAACTAAAATCGTTCCGGACCACAGAATGCCGGACTAGAGAGGTACAACCTGTATTGGGTGAAAATAAATGAGATTTTTTATTTTTTTGGGATATGAAGTTTGTGTGACCTTGAAATGTAAATACAGTAGTGTATTTTTACTGGTTTATATCACTTATGATAAAGAAACACTTCATAATTTTTAAAAGCTAGTTTTGGTGTATTCAGGAATACTGCATTCAGTGATGAAAGGCTATATGAAAAAAAAAATATTTATATGAAGGTTAGAAGAAGAAAAGCAATACAGGGTGTCCCATAAATTTCCATACATAGGAAAAAATAAATTTTATATGAAAATCCATTTTTATTTATATAATTTGCTCTACATGACTACCATTCTGTTGAAAACACTCTTCAACTGTGCTGGAGTTATGCTTGTAATGGCGTTGGTGATACGTTGTATGGAAACTTATGGGACACCCTGTAGTTATTGAATCAGCTCTAGAATTTTAATGATTATTTTTCTTTCACCATTTAATTTCAGGTAATAAAACTGCCAATTGATCTTGAACGAATTCTGCACAAGTGGAAAAATGGAATGTATATAACCCTTGATGACATCATGGGGGATTTGACGCTCATGTTCCAGAATGCTTGCCGGTACAATGAACCCGACTCCCAGATCTACCGAGATGCTCTCTCTTTGCAACGCCATGCCTTGGAGGTAAGAAGATGTAGCTATCCTTTTGACACCACCAAATTAAACTAAATCAACTAATTCATGAAATTTTATACAGTGGTCCCTCGGTTAACGAACGGTTCGATTAACAAAATTTCGGTTAACGAATTACCTCCCATGAGGATCTTCGGTTAACGAACAAAACTTCGATTAACGAAATCCTTACGAACAACACGTTTTGTTGTGAGCATCAACTGATCAGCTGATGGGCTAGTCTGCCAATTCAGTAATCTGTTCTATGTTTACATTCGTTTCCAGTGGAGTAAATATCAAGAAGGTTGTGCTCTTTAATATCTTTGCATTTTTTATATTAAAATTATTAGTCATTTTAAAATTTAGTTAACATATTGATAATATATGCAGTACAGGGAGCTAGTTTTTTGTGCGCCCATGAGCAGCTTGACTCGGCCACCAGGCTTCAGTTTGGCTTTGTTGACAGTGGGGTGAACATCTATTTTGTTGGTGTCTTGAATATTTTTGCATTTTTACATTTAAATTATTGGTCATTCTGAAATTTGGTTAACATATTGATAATATATAGTGCAGTACCGTGTTGATTTAAATAAAATAATCTTGAGTTAAACTTAGTGAACTTAAAATTTTATTGGTGAAATGACTGCATCAAGCATGGGTCCCCTGAATGGTGCTTTCTCCTCCATCCCCACTTCTTTCTCTTCTCCATTCTCCTCCACCCCCACTTCTAATTCCCATCATCATCATCAACCAGGAACCTTCTACGTACCGTACACACCTCAAAGTAAGTGTACTTTACTGCATTTTTTTTTTACTTTGTATGTACTTTTCGGTGAGTTGGAACCAATTACCCAATATCCCATTGAAACCATGGATTCGATTAACAAAATTTTTGGTTAACAAACGACCCTCTGGAACGAATTGTATTCGTTAACCGAGGGACCACTGTACTTGTATATTGCATGGTTTTTGGTGCTAAGATGAGGAATACTGTACCAGGTGTATGCTTAACTAACCAGTCTGTTTTATGATGTACAATACAATGAATTTAAGTTTATGGCTGAGTTATGTGGGTTAGTATCAAGCATACAGATTTTCCTCTAAACAATGTGGTTGCTTGCTGTGTGTACACCATCAAGTGTCAGAGACTAACTGAATTGCTCCCAACTTTTCTTGCAATAAAATTTTACATATACAGTACCTCTGATGTTTCTTTCTTCTGCTGTGTAAGTGTTATACATGACGACCTGCATTATTTAAAAAAACATATGGAGTATATTCGTTTAATGATTAACATTCTCAGTAGGCTAAATATTTTGTCATTGACTAGTGATTGGTTACATATCTCAATGTTTACACACAAGTGCTATGAGCCATTGGCTATTTTAAGCCTGTCGCTTCTTGTCTTTGCTTCCTTATAAGTACAGAGTATATTTATTTTTATATTCATATTTTGATGTAATGTGTGCTTTTAATTTTTAAGTTTATGGCTCCATTATTGTATTGTACAGTACAGTAAAGCCTCGGATAACAACGATTCGTCTAACAACTTTTCGTATTTGAAACCCTAGATAATTTAGGACCCAACGCAGTTTACATCCTTATTTAATTCGTATTTGAAACCCTAGATAATTTAGAACCCAAGTCAGTTTACATCCTTATTTAATTCGTATTTACGACCAAAATATAATAAAAATAAAATAAAATTACATTTTCATATAAATAGTAACTAAATCCCGATAAGTAATATAAAAAAAATTTACTGTAAAAAAAATGAAGCGTGCCTTGTGCAAAGAAGCTGCCGTGCTAATGAGTGGTAAACAACACTCTGAGCTTGGCGGGCCTTTTGTTTTCACGCATCTGGAACAGGAACTGGAGAAAAACTTTCTCAGGCTTCTTATAGCATTTTTGCATCCCTATTCAACATGAGCAAGAGAGCAAGTGATGGTAGTGTTGTTTCAAAAGCTAATAGAAAGTGTCTAAGCTTAGCCGAGAAACTAGATGCATTAAAACGATATGAAAAAGGTGAGAGGTCTGTGGATATTATATGGAGCAAACAATGAACATATTTTCTGAAGTGGATCCATTAACAGAACAAAGCATTAAAATTTAAATAAACACAAATAACCTCTACATAAAAATGAGAAAAGAAAGCAGCTGTGCAAGGTTCTTTCGAAAGCTTTATTATTCGAAGGCCTAAACCATCAACTTCAGCTACGCCATCAAATTCAGCATCATAGGCAGCTTCAACATCAACCTCAGGTTCAGTAACAGTTTCAGCAACAGCTTTATGGAAAGCTACAGCTTCAGCCATAGTTGAACCTGATGATTTCGTCATCTGAGTAAAAACTCGAACAATATTAATTGGCTGTCCTTATGTTTAAGACTTTACCGCCATTGGTGAATAGAATTTTAGTTTTACATTCATAAATATTATTCAAAACATATATGAACAGTAAATAAGTGTTGCTTTCATATTCATGTGTTGAGAAATGACGATAGCTTTTCACATGTACTGAACACACTTATTGTTCATACGTTGGCGTTCCCAATCGTCTTGCCTTATTTCTTTACCATTAGTGGTTAGCTATTCCTAGTGTTCCATTTATTAACATTAAATAGCATTACTTAAAACATACATACAGGTGTTCAATTTTTTTTTAAATTAAGTTCACTACAGCTACAACCAGGGTCTTATTTTCTTCAGTTTCTTACCGTATGTAAAACCATCGTCTCTCACGAAATCAATGCCGTCTTGTCTCCTCGTGTGTGTTTTAATATTCTACGTATTATTAATGATTTGCATTGTTCATTTCACATATATAAACATTAATTCAATCAAATACATTTTCAGTAATAAACAATAATAAATTTGTACATATTCTTAAGATAAATGACCATGTTTCCTTGAGCGCGCACGTATACATTTGGTGTAAACACTGACAACAGTGTCGTCTCTTATCCTCTTGTGTGTTTTAATATTCGACGTATTAATGAATTGTATTGTTGATTTAACTTATATAAAGATTAATTCAATCAAATACACATTCAGTAATAAACAATAATGAATCTTTTATACATATTCTTAAGATAAATGATGCGGTATCCTTAAATGCGCACGTTTATATTGGTGTTTCCAATCCATCTCTTTTTTTTTCTTTGCCATTAGTGGTTAGCTACTTCTATTGTTCCATTTATTAACATTAAATAACATTACTTAAAACATAAATATTAATTTTTTTACATTAAATTTACTACAACCAGGGTCTTATTTTCTTAATTTTCTCGTGTAGAACTATCGTCCCGGACTCCCTGCTGTAAACACAAACAAAAACAATGGCGTCCCATATCCTCTTGTGTCACCATATTATTATTATTCATTTATATTGTATAAGGTGCATTCAGAAACATTATTTAAAGAATATAGTTTGCACTTTTCATTAATTGTATTGTTTTGGGGGGAAAAGAGGGTAAAAGGCCACACAAAAGATATGAAAAGGTCACACTTGGGAATGCATCTCATTATTATTGCTTTATTTTACTGGTAATTAATGATTCGCGATAAGACGATTCACCTTACACTGCACTATTGGAGGACACATTAAACTCGTTATTCGAGGCTTTACTGTATTGTCTTTATTCATGTTGTAGGGAAGTTGACTGTAAATAATATAGCAAATTGCTTTATTTACTACTCAGTTGGCATCTTTTTCCATATATTGTAGTACATGCCAATACAGTACTTTACCCAGTATTACCCCTTTTCCTTTTGGTCAATTAAAACAAGAAGGTCATAAAGTAGATGTTTTACCCCCCCCCTTTTTTTGTGAAGTAGGTACCCCTTTATTGCAAGTAAGAATAAAATATTTATGTAAATATCTTATGAGATGCTTTAATTCTATATTCCCCAGAAACGATTGGAGTTGAGTAGCTCTGAAGCTGTTCCCAATGTTAGTGCTCTGGTTCAGGAGTTGTTCATGTCACTTTTCATCAGTGTGTTCAACCATGAGGAAGAAGATGGTCGATATACAGCAGAATCATTCTTTGAGTTACCTGACTATGAAGAGGTAAGTAGTTTTGGCTCTTTATGTAACCGATATAATAGTAAGTAGAGTGTTTAAGAGAGTAAGATAATTTATACGAGTTACCGTAGTCTGGCCATAGCATCCATTATTCTTGAATATTTTTTCTACTCTGAGAAGCGCAAGGAGTTTTTCAACCAGAAATTCTTTCAAATTAACTTAATATACATGCAACATAGTTGCATACACCCACTATATACTTTTATATTGTTCTTTGTCTGTTTTGATGATTTGAATATTATTTTACTTTATAGGTTGATGGTAAAAAATCAAGAGTACTGTCTTTCGACATAATGAAGAGGCGCCTCGACAAAAATATGTACTCCCGCCTTGATCACTTCCAAGAGGACCTGTTTTCCATATTTGAACGAGCTCGGAGGTGTTCCAAAGTGGACTCCCGAGTATTTTTGGATTCCATAACGCTTCAGACAGAATATATGAGATTAAGGTCAGTCTTTTCTACTTGCTGTCAACATTCTGATTGATCACTTTGTTCCCTCAACTTCTCTTTTCTGGCTTTTGGATTCAGGTTATAATTTGCACTCCAATTTCCTGGCTTGTTAATTAATAATTTGGACAGGACACATGAGGAACTGTAACTAAGGACCATGTACCCAGCAGTCTTGTCCATCACAAAGGTGGTGTGAGCCTCACGCTGATGGTGTAGAAGCCACATCCACTCACAAGTGAATAATAAATGGGATTAATTTGAAAGGAAACGGATGTACATGGTAGTTATATGCAGAGAAGGTAGTTTAGATCTGCAGACAGTATATGAGATACACCCCTGTAAATATTAAGTTGTGAAGGGAGTGAAAGTAAGAATAGTGGAGGATGGTGAAAATTTAGTCAATGATGATGCAGGATAAGGGAGGGAGGTGGGTTAGCTATTGTTTGCAGATAATGATGCTCTAGTTGGCAGTTTAGAGATAAAGTTACAAATGTTAGTGAAGGAGTTTGGAAGAGGTGTATGGGAAGACAGGGAGGAAAAAATGTTAACTTGAATGGTGATGATATGAAGAAGGGAAATGTTTCAGATAATTGGAAGTATATACTGTATGTTAGTAGTGAAGGGAAGAAAGTAATGGGCGCATTGAGAATGTTGGGATATAGAAAATTAGTAAAACATGTACAGGGAATCTGAGCTGGCACAATTTTATGAGTGTTGTATTAAAGAATGGAAAGTGAAAGACTCTTTTTGGTGGGGGAGGGGGGTGATTCAGAGGTGGATGGTTTCTATGGGAGAGAGGGGAAGACCAAGGAAATAGAAGAATGAGGTGAAAGACACACTTGAAGTGGTTGAGATGAACTTTCAGGAAACCTTGGATGTGCAGGGATGATCAGAGTGCATATTTTTTTTTTTTTTTTTTTTTAATGTGTATGTAATAGGTTGTATGTAGCAGTAGGGGCAAAACACATGGGTAATTCAGGTCTTGTGGGAGGTGAGTACCTTAGAATAGAATATCTACTTCAACAGTAAGAACGAATAAATGACGGTGAGTTGAGGGAAGGTCTATGTGCTTGCTCTTGATTCTGGTTTGAAAAGGTGAAAAATGTACAGTCCATTGTCACAAATCTGAAATACTCAGACACCAAGATTGTGAGAAATTTGAATAACACTACTTAACCACTACCAACACACAAAGACTTAGAAAAAACATAACTGAATACATAAAAACATAAAATGATAATAGCTCGGTTAGCAGCGTTTGCCTCACAAGCAAATGGTCATTGGTTCGATTCCCAATGAGAGTGGAGGACTGGGTTCCTCTTATGCACTAACCCTTGTGCACTCAGCAGTAAATGAGTATGGTGACGGATGCACTTGCTGATGGTGGAACTACCCTTCAGCACCTTAGCATCCTGCCAGGGGGTGGGGAACCCACAAGCTGCTGAATGCAAAGAATCAGGAGATCTACATCTAACTGGCCACATTGCATCATAGTAGCAAAAGGTTTGTATGAATGGGAAAACTATTAACCTTTTGACTTCTGGCTCACCATATACAGATCGTCCTGTGTTGTTTTTATTCACTGTGGCCTCGCCGTATATATTTTCTAATTTTTTAATAGTCCGAGTGCGGTAATGAGAGGAAATTTTTTATTAATATTATTATTATTTTTTTGGGGGGGAGGGGTGGGGGATAATTTCTCATCACATGCATAATGTAAATACAGTATACCATGGAACATTCAATGTTTGCCTCCAACCATCAGTAACTCTCACAATGACTAATAGTTATGGTGGATGCCATGTTATGGCTATCTTAGGTGCCTCTTACAAGATGGTACAACAGTGAATATTGCACTGCTGTGTTTGAGGAAGGATAATCTATTTCATGCCATGTACAAAATGATGAAACTTTTTCCCCAATTTTTTACAAATGTGCCACGGGAGATATCCTGGGTCACAATTGGGCTGCAATGAATGAGTAAAATAAAATTCAGTATTGCACTGTAGGGAAAAAAATCCCCTGCAAAACAATAGGAGAGCAGTGAATGAAATCACAGTGCCCTTCTTGTTGGTTATGTGCTTACAGTGCTCAGGTGGTGGGAACAGTGAAACTCACAACTATGCACATGTTTGTAAAAAGAAAACAAAAAGACACAGTAAGAAGATGTCTGTATGAAAGAATATAAAAAGGAACACAGAAAAGATTAGAAATAATTGAAACATGTAGTAATGTACAGTACTCATCAAACTATTGTAGATGACATACAGTATATCCACTCCCAAATAATGTACAGTACAGTGACCCCTCGTTTAACGAACGCCTCGGTTAACGAACTGCCTTCCATAAGGATCTTCAATTCGGTTAACGAATTTCTTACGAACCAACCTCAACATGTTTTCGCTTGCACTGACCGGGCAACCAGCTTTAGTATCAGTCCGCCAATACATTAATCGGTTCTAGGGCTTAAATTCCTTACTATTTTAGTAAATATCAAGAAGTTTTTACTATTCAATAATTTTAAAAGTTTAATATTCAATTTTTTAGTCATTTTAACAATTATTGAACATAATTGAAGGTAAAGTGACTAGTTTAATGCGTGGCATCCAGCCTCTTAACACAGCAAACAGGCGTTAGTCTCTCTCTCTTTTCAGTGGAGGTAACATCTTGCTTGAGACTCTCTTCAACTAAATGCTTTTTTCTGTGTTTCCAAGCAAATTATTGGTCATTTTGAAATTTATTTTACATATTGACAATATATAATGCAGTGCAGTGTTGATTTAAAGAAAATAATCTTGAATTACACCAAGAGAACTAAAATTTTATGGGTGAAATGGCGCCATGGGGTGACTTCTCTTCCACCCCAATGCCTTCTCTTCTCCCTTCTCCTCCACCACCATTCTAATTCCCATCATCATCATCATCATTATCCAGGAGCCTTCTACATACACACCTCAAAGTAAGTGAACTTTTCTACCATTTTTGTTGAATTTAGGAAATTTTCGGTGAGCTGGAACCAATTACCCAAAAACCCATTGAAACAATGGTTTCGGTTAACGAACGACCTTCTGGAACGGATTGAGTTCGTTAAACGAGGGGTCACTGTATTATATATTCTCATACAATACAGAATTGTATATTATACCAGTACAGTTTATTTTATTTTTATTTTTTTATTAGCCCACCCAGGCACAGGTCAATGACCCACATCAGGGTCTGGGGGAGATATATAATAATAATAAGAAAAAGAAGAAGAAAATACAAATTAAAGAAAATATAATATATGTAAATACTATTGATGATGTGTTAAATGAATATCCTTCCTTCCTTAGGCTTTAGTAAGCACCTTTATAATATTTATATATACATGTGACACTTGTCAGATGCTTCTGGTGTTATTGTACAGGGGTACCTAGTGACCTCACTCGGATCCCACTTCCTCTATCAAGGGATAAATATTGAAATATGATAATAATAATACTGTAATAAAATACAAATAAAAAAATATATAATAATAATAATAATAATACTGTAATAAATACAAAATAATAAAAATATTATAATAATAAAATAAAGAACCATAAATAAATGCAAATTAATAAAAATCTATAGTGAAAAATGATAGATATAAGTTGTGTTGTCAAAGTAAGAGCAACAATTGTGTGTAAATGAGGCAGAAAGTCAGATCAACAACCTGGGGCTTGGTCACAATTTTTGTGATGCCATATGGCAGCAGGGTCTACCATTAGACAACACATTATGCTTCCAATATCTTCCCAGGTGGTAGTACCTCCCTGTTTGGTAGCTGCCTACCACTGTATCTACTACCTTATAAATTAGAAATAAAACAACTTTTTAGTGTGTATTAACCATTTCACTACAGGGATTCCACTTTTAATATTTTATTTGGCTAATACCAGATGATTTTATTCAGCACAGCGGGGAGCCAGTACACGAGGGGTTAACATCGTGTGCCCTCCTGTTGATCATTGATGCGTGTCCAGGAGATGATAAATGTCTTGGTGAAGATAAGATGATGAAAAAGTTTATAAGTAATGTACAAAACACTCAAAAACATAATAGGAGAGCAACAAGGAAGTCACTGTGGCTGCCATGTTTTGTATGTGCAGACAGCACTTGGGTGGCAGGAACAGTGGAATTCACAACTCTGAAACTTAAGATTCAAAATTTATATTGATTATCATATTTTTCCCACACCTTTTCAAAATGAACCGTTTAAAAAAAATTAATTATTCAGATATCTGGCATTTTTTACTGTGTAAAAAAACATCTGCTTGATGGTGAAAATTACCAGAATATGAAGAAGAAAGATTGTGCCTGTATTTTCTTATGTTATTTTATCCCTTTAATAGAGATGAATTGTGCAATAATGGAGCGATTCTTCAATCAAAAGCCTTGTCCTACACCGAGGTGGAGTTGAACAACCAACTGGAACTTATGCGGAACCGTCGAGGGTTAGAACAGGAAGGAGAGGATGAGGATTCTAAGGTACGTCCAGGGAACTGAGTTTTTGCCCTCCTCTATTAAGGTTCAATAAGTTGAAATGGTTGCAAAGGTAGACAAAAGTGAGCAGAGTTTATTCAGTAGGTTAATTATTTGTTGGTCATGAAGTAGGTCCCCACTTAAGGTCGAGGTAAAGTAACTTTTCTTGATTATATGTCCAGTTGCACAGGTACAACATCCTTAGGGAAGATTTTGAAACATTAGGTCCTTCAAAAATTAATGAGAAAGATTACCAGTATAAGTTGGTCAATAAAATCATTAGATCAGCCACTTAGATTCCAGGATCATTGAAGGGAATTACAGAGTTTAGATATTAAAAAATCTGTCGGATATTATGTCTATCTGCTAGCTCCCACTCAAATGGCCTGAAACTAATACTTTTTTATTTAAGGTCATTCTCTCACTTCCTGAGATATACCATCCCACACATAGCTGAAATCTTATGGATTGTTCTGCTAGAGGATGTGACGATATTCCTTTTACCCAAAGAACGAGTAACAAGGTCTTGAGTGGAGCTATAGCTCATATGGAACATCATTCGCAGTATGAATTATACCTCTGAATTTATTCTTATTGTTGTTGTACGTCTCAAATCATTCTAATAATCGTGTTGTACAATGTGTTACAGCCTCCACCACAGCCCACTGATGGAACAAACAACAGCAGCTTAAGCCACAATGAAGTTCAGTACTTTGTAGGAGATTTTGTATACCTGTCTCCCCCAGAAAAGGTAATCTTTTTTTTTATAATTTGCACTTAACAGTAGACCACTGTGTTAGTGTATTTTGGTACAATATGTTGAGGTTTTGCTGTGTTTTATATCCCATGGTAGATATTTATTAGAGGATTATTTCCAGAAATTTTGTTTTGGTAAAAGCTAATAACTCTTCTACAGAACTGTGACTACCCCATCCTACACATAGAGCGGTTGTGGACTAACAGTGAGGGCCGACAAATGGTGTATGGCTGTAATTACTATAGACCAGCAGAAACTTTTCATCAACCCAACCGCAAATTCTTTGAACAGGAGGTGTTTAAAACAGACCAACATCATGCATACCCACTTACTGAGGTGTGTGGAAGCCAGACAGTATTGTTGCCTTCATTCCTGATTTGCTTTCAGAGTTCCAGTAGACTTTCTTTTCGGTTTATTTAACATAGAAATTATATGTTTACTCCATTCATTCCTGCTTTTTATGTATTTTAAATACTGTGATGTAAAGTGGAAATTGGCCTTGTGCTATCTGTAAGGAAGGTGTCGGCAGCAGCTCAGTAATGTGCAGTGAGTGTGGAAGGTGGGTATGCAAGGGGTGTAAATGGCAGACTGTAAGATGTTACTGACATACAGTCTTAAAGTGTGTTGCATGCACAGGTAATCATATGGCCTTAGCAAGGCTGGAAACATAACATTGGAGTTGGCATTGAAGCCAGTCAAAAGTGGCAAGAGGAGATTTAGGGAGTTGCTGCCTTTATTGAGAGTACAGTATTGGCAAGGTTTTGCATACAAATAGGCTGAGATGGTTCATGCATGTGATGTGAAGAAAATGGAGGAGACTAACTAGGTCATGAGGTGCACAAGACTAAATATGGAGGGGAGGAGAGCCAGGGGTGGACTACAAGACATCATGCAACATGGAGAGCTGTCCTCAGGTAATTCGGGCTAATCCATGCAAATATGGAACATTGCTGTAAAACAGTGATGATAATTTGCAGAAATAATCATGTATAACTAACATTCATCATTTTGTATATTTTTGGTAGCACTTACGTGCACATATTTAAGGTATTACTCTGTGTAATAATAATAATAATAATTAACGGTTTATTGAAAGAGCTTGGCAGCCAGAAGGCTGAAAATATACAGTTACATATTTGGGGAATGGGTTTCGAATTACAAATAATATACAAGTAACATAAGTGATACAAATAAGATATATAAGTGTGTGTGTGCGTGCGTGCGTGCGTTATTTTATTATTATTTATTTATTTTTTTTTTTTTTGCTTAACGTAACATAGGTGTTCAAAACTAAACTTTATCCCAAACAGGTCTTTGCAGTTGCTGTTCCCAACATCCAAGACCACCCAAATTGATACATTTGACTTGTGATTCTTTAGTTAGCTTTGGTTCTTTGACAACCAAAACACCATGTTAAAATGAAAATGAAATTGATCTCCTCAATATATTTTTAAATACTGTTCTATACCTTTTTTTCATTAGATTTTAAATTTTTTGTTTTAAGACTTTCAGTGTCTGCCAACCTCCATCACCCTTCATAGGCTGTACCTCTTTTATTTTTGTACAAGCTGGATGAAACTATCAGGCCTTTGTATCCAAATCTTTATTTCTTTGTTGAATGGTACTTGGTGCTGATTTGGGTGAACCAGTGGTGCTGTTATTCTATCTTAGTGCTTTTTCAGTTGTATATTGAAGGTTTTGGAGTTGTTTATTTTCAGGAGCAGTTTGTATGAACAACAGGTTCCATTTATATCAGTAAAGATTGAACTTGAACACATCAGAATATCATGATTTTGTAAAATAGGGGTGTGGTTTAGTAATTAAGTACAAACAAGTACCAACAACTTGATTTGTGTGTTTATTATCATGTATCAAGAGCAGAAAATTAAATTGAAAGGCCCAAGTAAATTTAGTGAAACAAACAAAACTTAACGGGTAATTTTGTTGATGCATCAGTGAGACTGTTAGTTGCCTTTGTGAGGGAGGCCTCTGCCTGTCATTATGATGTTTCAGGGATTGTAAATGGTCAGGTTAATTGTGCACGACAGTTAGGGGAAATCACTACCAAAAATTACAATATTCATTATTGTGAACCTCAAATAACCATTCCATGACATTTATTATGCTTATCATTCTTCTCCATGTTTTCAGACACTTAGACACTCTGTTGTTGTACCATGCTTGTTTGTTATTTATAAGTAATAACCAATATTCTGTGTGATAGTTATTAGGAAATATTTCATTATAGCAGTTCACTAAATTGAATCGGGTTTGTGTATGCGTGGATAGAGTGAGTGACCCTACACCAATTCCCCCATTAATATTGTTGTTGGGTTCCTGAGAACCACAACGTTAAGTGAAAATGATTTTACCGTAGATACAATGATATAAAAACGGATTATGTTCCTTGGGTACATTTCTGGTCAAAATTTCTCACGACTTGCTAAAAATGTTTCACTTTCAACACTATCACCTTCTTAGTGTTTTAAAGTTTCAAATAAACTTAGAGCTTTCGCCTATATGGAGAGCAACGAACATGGAAAGCTTAGTTGACATTGATCCTCGACCCACACGTTCAGCATTCTTTCCATATTTTCCATAATGCCACTTCTGTTACGAGTTAACTTTGTAGCAGATAATGGAGTAACTCTTTTAGCACATGATTTTATATTTTCTGCATTTCCACAAATTGTTCTTACCTACAGTTGTAGGCTGCAAACCGACAACTCTTGCTATGTCCACAGCACGCTGTCCTCCTCCTAATCTCTTTACCACATCTAATTTAACTTAAATGAAACAATTCTCTTCTTTCTGTGACCACAACCAGTAGTGGTGCATAATGCACATTTAGTACTCATTGTTCTAGGGCTTAAATGAAGGCACCCATGCTGGTTGCTTACGCAGCCAGCTGTTATCACAATCATGCGCTGAGCGCCTTCGTACCGAATTTTTTAAATTTTCACACATTTATCATTTTCATACATTTTTTTTTTTTGAACAACGCTATAACATAATGATGTTGAATGAAACGGCGTTAATAGGGGAATTGGTGTATTTAGAAAGTTAAAAAATCCTGGTCCTGATATTCCCGTTGTCTGAGGTAGTGCTGTACAGTACTCTTATTATATATATCCCCCACTTGAATAATCTTTTATATGATAAAATTTGGAAAGGTATTGCTGTGTTTTTGTAATATCCATTTGTAATGCTAAAATTTTTTGTTTTCTTCATATCAGGTAATAGGAAAGTGCTATGTACTGCCATTAGTTGACTACATCAAGATGAAACCAGAAGGTGTGGACGAAAAGGACTTGTTTGTGTGTGAGTCTCGCTACAACAGTCGAAACAGATTCTTCAAAAAGATCAAGGCAGGTTCACAGTGTAGTGTGCTCTACAATCATGGTCAGTTGGAACCATAAATGTTCTACTCAGCTGTTATGTAAGAGTAAACAAGAAAATCTACATAATTTCTTATTCTTTGGATGAAGTAGGTTAATCCCTTCTATATTTCCTTACCCTTATTACCCTTACTTACACTTGTATCACACCATTGTCACTGTCCATACACTCTATGCTAACGTTTGTATCATCAATCACTATCCATGTCTGTAGAAGTCACACCATTCTCAGTCAATTTAAATTTTTATACAAGCTGGGAAAGTTGCTTGTGATAACTTCCAGTTTGTATGGGGTGGTCCATGTACAGTATTTAGGACTAGGGGTCACCATAGGCAACTTTTCCAACCTGGTTGAAAAGATTGAAGTTGAACACAAATGAACTGCCCTAACTTTTTAGCCTAATAACTCTGGCATTTGGGAAATTGAGTGTACCCCATATACCCCCCCAAAAACACGACATATGAAAGTAAAAAAAAATTTCTTATAAAATTGAAGATATCAAATTTTGAAATTACAGTGACCCCTCGTTTAACGAACACCTCGGTTAACGTAATTTCGATTAACGAACTGCCTTCCATAAGGATCTTCAATTCGGTTAACGAAAAAAAATTCGGTTAACGAACCGACCTCAACATGTTTTCGCTTGCACTGACCGGGCAACCAGCTTTAGTATCAGTCCGCCAATACATTAATCGGTTCTAGGGCTTAAATTCCTTACTATTTTAGTAAATATCAAGAAGTTTATACTATTCAATAATTTTAAAAGTTTAATATTCAATTTTTTAGCCATTTTAACAATTATTGAACATAATTGAAGGTAAAGTGACTATTTAATGCTCGGCATCCAGCCTCTTAACACAGCAAACAGGAGTTAGTCTCTCTGTTTTCACTGGAGGTAACATCTTGCTTGAGACTCTCTTCAACTAAACGTTTTTTTTCTGTGTTTCCAAGCAAATTATTGGTCATTTTGAAATATATTTTACATATTGACAATATATAATGCAGTGCAGTGTTGATTTAAAGAAAATAATCTTGAATTACACCAAGAGAGCTAAAATTTTATGGGTGAAATGGCGCCATGGGGTGACTTCTCTTCCACCCCAATGCCTTCTCTTCTTCCTTCTCCTCCACCCCCATTCTAAATCCCATCATCATCATCCAGGAGCCTTCTACATACACACCTCAAAGTAAGTGAACTTTTCTACCATTTTTGTTGAATTTAGGAAATTTTCGGTGAGCTGGAACCAATTACCCAAAAACCCATTGAAACAATGGTTTCGGTTAACGAACTTTTCGGTTAACGAACGACCTTCTGGAAGGGAGTGAGTTCGTTAACGGAGGGGTCACTGTATAAAACTATAGAAAAACTTTGTACTTTTCATGGGTGATGAATTATGAGTATGAAGTGAAACAGAGAGTAACTGGCAACTGCTGAGCCCTGATTATTGTTGTGATGCAAGAGGGGTTGTGGTGGTGCAGTGGGCTTTTGTGGTGCATAGTGGGTGGTAAGCCCTTGTGTAGGTGGTGGGCCAGGCTATGGCGCCATAGGTGTGGGTGAGGGACCACTGAGGACAGGTGGGGGGGGATAAATTATTCCAAGATGTGATAAGAAGTTGATTTGAAGCTCCACCAGCCTTGTGTCTCACTGTAGAGTGTCTGCCAATCATTGACTTTCCATTCTTAGCATGATCTTTGGTGCACAGCTTTAAATTCATGGTGCCAAATGCCAATTGTCTTTGTCTTAAGATGACAATAGTGCAATTTCAGTAAATTGTCCAAAGACAATGATAGCAGCTAAAGGTTTAACATCCTCCAGATTTTTCTGTTAACTGGTTGACAGCAGAATTTTAAGATAAAAATGCACAAATTATTGATAATTCAAATTACAATACATACTGTAGTTTTCACTGTACCTTAAATTCAATTTGGTAATTATGTCACTGACATTTGTTTCCAGTCCTTTCCATTCAATGTGGGAGAACGCGTCAAGTTACTGGAAAGACCAGAACCTCTGGAGATGAAGCGTGTGGACTCGGTGTTCAAGGAGAGGATAGAACGTCATAAGGAAGAGCTGGCAGAGCTAGATGAGGAGACCAAGGTTATCCGTCGCCAATTACCGGTAAGTCAGTTAGCTTTCCTAACATTGTGTTATGTATGTATTGGAAATCCCTATTTAGAGTACTGGTAATTTAATAATTTTAACAGTATTTTATGGCTGAGTTAATTCAATGTGAGAAGATTATTGGTATATAATCTTTAAATTTGTGTTCAAGGTGTTATGCAGGAATGTCCTTTAATTTTCTTCTGTTAATTTTGATTTCTGTGCATTAACTTATTTTTCATGTGCAATATTTTTTTAGAATTTTTAGAGAATGTTACTCAATAAAGAGACACCAAAACATCTTGGAAATATTGTGTGGAAAAGAAAACAAGGCCTTTTTGAGAATTTTGTGAGTGCATGCTAGAGGTGCCCTTTGTGTGGGCTCCATTTGAGTGGGATTGGTGATGGCAACCTGGGCTGACTTAAGGACACAGGCTGGATCAAAAGAGTTTGAGAGGATTAAGACATTCTAGACAAGTTACATCATACATAGGAGAGTTAGTTATATATGAATATTGTGTGAATTAAACTTCCTAATACATATGTTCCCTTAACTAACTTTTGACAGTGTTGAAGATAAGAGTGATCTTATGTGAGATTTTTGTACTTCCAGAATGTAGTGAAATCCCAGGCAGAAGGAGTGCCAGGTGGTCACACGTACTATGAACAGTACAATATTTCCTCGGGTGCTGTCAAGCTTGGAGACTACGTGCATGTCAAGGGACGAGATTCAGGCAAGAAGTCGGTCAGACAAATCTGTCAATTATGGGTCACACCTGAGTAAGTTGTATATTGATCTGCCCCTGTCATATTGATGGGCTTTCAAAGTTTGCTCACCCGAACTTGACACTGGTATGGGAGGACGTACAAAATCTTTTAGTACAAAAGGTATACAGGTATTAAATGTAATACTTGTACTTCTATAGAACTTCAGATTTGATTACACGGGGCTCAGCAACTCTCAGACTCCCAGCAATTCTTAGAAAGTGCCTTTTGGAAAACAAAAACACTGAAAGTCTTATTACAGGTATCCCTCGAGTGTTAATTCGCTTTAGTGATAAAAAGTTTTGACACCCTTTCTCACTTTGTTAGGTCAACATTCGATTTAGTGATGGTTTGAATCACTGGGAAGGGGGGAAAACTGGGGATGAGGTAACCTGTGAGATGTCTACATATTTTGCCATTGTTACATGTTATGAAAAAAAAAAATAATAATAATTACAATACTCTAATGCGGCTTAGAAATAAAGAAAATATAATATAAAACTATAATATAAGATATATGAAAAGCATGGGTGTATGTAAGTGAGAAGTGAATGTATGTGTGGAGGCAGTGGGTTGTAACTGTGACCAGCCCAGCCGTGCCCCCTCCTCCAATACAATGTTATGGCATAGCACAGCAGCAGCCACACATCTGTGAGTCATTGGGTGACTGCCTGGCTGAATTGTGTCATCGCCCAGAGGATGGTTTGAGTGAGGAAGGAGATACTTTTTGTACATAAAATATGTGCTATTGTATTTGTGATATGCTATGTATCCATTTTATTGTTTTTTAGAGCAATTTTTTTCCCATTTTTGACTTAAGCAATTTGAAATTTGTTTGAATTAGGCTCACTTTGTGTTCACTAAATTGTTTAAATCACCACATCATTTATATAGAGTTTTTGCTGTTAATAAATCAATTGTTTGACTTTGAAACTGTTTATAATGAACTCATTTAAAGCGAGGGAGTACTGTACTGTACTTGGTGTTTACCACCCTGCTCTTTGAACCTATTGTTCATCCTCTGCTTCAGTGTTATTCCTCATTTAGCAAAACATTAGGTATTTTTAGGAACGTAACCCCATCGTTAAATGAGGGATACCTGTACAGTGTTATTTTCATCCACCTCCCTCTCTCATCATTGAATATTTTTACCACTTTTCACAACTCTTTAGCCTTCTCAAGTCTTTTTCCATCATTTCATAAATCTTGTGTTATTCATCCATCCTGTAATGGAATTTGCCCATCATTATGTCTGTTTTGTTTTTTGACTAAGTGAGTTTGATCTATGCATACAAGAAACTTTATCCCAGAAATTAAATGAGAACTGATGATGTGAATTATGTATTCTCTTAACTTTTTCTTTTACATAAGACTGTGAAGGAAAATGAACAACAGTGTGTCGAAGATAGATTAGTAATTTTTTTTGTGATATGAATTCTTGTGTTCTTTTCCTACCATTGCATCACAGTAAAAAAATAGCACTTCTGCATACTATTTTCAAATAAACTTCTCAAGTTTGTGTCAATTCAAGATAAATTTTCCTCTTTTTTTTCCTAATTATAGTTTGACATTGTTTTCCTCGATAGATTAATGTATTTCGCTTTCACTGTTATGTTTATTCTTAGGGGGACAGCTTACTTCCTGGGTACAGTGTTCAAAAATGCAGCACAAAACAACCCAACTGGTGAGCACCTCTTCTACAAGCAGGAAGTTTACCTCACTGCCGGAGTGGAGACCTTACCCATCTCAGACATCACTGGCCGCTGTATTGTCTTCGATGTCAAAGAATACTGCACACGTGAGTAATCTGCTATATGTGCCTCTACAACATTTTGACTTTGATGCAGTACAGTACAGTGTCATTTTCAACAACATCAGACAGCCCCTGAAGCTCATAATATTTGTGATGCCTCATTTATTTTCTTAAAATGAAATTAAAATGTTGATAGATTTATTGTTTTCTTATGTAGAGTAGTTTACTTACAGTATCATGTAATCACTTCAATGACTCTTTTGTCACCTTTACCCAAGCTAATTTTTTTATTCATGCAGTATTACTTAGCAGTTTCTTAAACTAACTGTACATCCTTGAAAAATAATAGTGTATGGGCAAAACCAGATGACCAGTTAAACATTCCATAAAATTGATTAATGATCTCAAAATTCTAGCAAAATTCCTATTTATAATGATTGATTTTGACCTCTGGTTTTGTACTGTGGTTCTTTTCACAAAAGTTTCTCTCCTTGAATTATGCTACGGTGGCAATTCACTTTGGTGTTTTAAGTACATATTAAGGCTTATGGTTAAATATTTTTGTCATCTTATATATAACCTTTGACCCAATATATTAACCTATTTCATTAAATACAGTATACCATCTTGAGATAGATGTCACCTTGATCACTTAGAGCTTGGTGGTATTTACCTCTTTTCATATGGATTCCATTCTTTTCTCCATTTCCACAGCAGTTTTATGTTTTATTATGGGTAAAGTTTGTGTTCTGTATGACTAAAGTTAGTTTTCTACCAACAGTACGATCGACAGAGATACGTGAAACTGAAGTGTATATATGCGACAGTTTCCTAGATGAAATGATTCAAAGAGTTAGCTCATTGATGACTGGCCTGCGCAAGTTTAAACACTCAAACTATGTCACACAAGATGAGATCTACTACTTCCGGAAGCCTCTTATTCTCCAAAAGGTAATAATATCTGCAGTAATTCTCTTATAACGAGAGCACCTCTCATACTGTTTTTCATGTACTGTACCATCAAATCATTTATTTGTTCCTTGAATTTGTTAGACATTTGCTGACTCCTCGGTATTCCTTTCTTTGTCTTCTTTATGCCTTCAGGTCTTTTTCTTTTTGTGCTGCCATTATTCCATTCCATATATAAATGCTTGCAAAGCCATCCCTCATCCTTTCTGTATGCTCTTGTATCTCCTGAGTGGGGTTAATTTTGCATGGGGCATTGATATGGTAAATGGCCAGCACAGTACACACCACAACAAACAAAACTCAACCAACCTAACCCAGCCTAGTTATGAGATTGTACCCATGTCAGAGCCAGGGTGCCCTCAGATGAGAAGTTCTGTAGGCAGAGAAAAGACTAATGGCAGTCAAGGAAAGACTAAGGTGTTAAAAGAATATAACAGACTTGTGAGTTGGTATTTTATTTCAATGTCGTTAAAGTAGTGGGGAACATTAGTGTGTATTTTTTATAAATGTTACCGATATAAGTTTGTCTTAGTTTAAGTTGTTGACAAGTTAGCCAAAGAAGGGAAACTTTAGCATCCTTTTAATTATGCAGTTGTGGTTGCAAATCAAAGAGACCCCTGATTAACTGTCTATTACGATTAAGGCTTATTAGGACTGGGCATGTATTCTGAGAGTTCTGGTTAGGTTTGAACCTATTAAGACTGAGACCCATTTGACCAGTCACCTGAACCATTTTCATTGATTCCATAATAAGTACAGTACTGTAAACGATTACAGGGGAATAAGCTTAATAATAGACTTTGGCATTTAAGGATTATTTTACACAGACTGACCTGTTGGGGATGAGGTGCCTTTAAATGTATCAGTTGATTCCATTTTTTATCTCGTATCAACAAGAGTTGAGTTTATTTAGAATGATGTGAGAGCATGTCTATTCTCTTTCAGTATAGTACCGTACAGTATATTTCTTGTTCTATATTCCACAATTGTGTTTGTCATCTCTCACAAACACACACACATTAATTATGCATGTCTCTCTCCTCTCTTCTCTTTTGTATCTCTATTAACCTACCATCATTTCTAATCACAAAAGATGACAATGTTTCCTCTGCTGCCATCAATGTCTCCTGTATTTTCACCAGTAACCTCCCTTAGGTATTTATCTTTGTTTTGGTCAAATATGTTTTGTTTCCATTCTTCAGAATTTTTTTTTAATCTCATGAAGTTTAGGAACCCTAATTTATTTCACCTTATGACTAAACACCCAAATGCTAACCTAATCGACCCATTACCCATTTAGAATTAGGTTTTTAAATCTTAGGTGTAATAAGCAGGGGTTCCTAATTTTCATGTGATCCCTTTTTTATGTTCAGAGTGGCCACTGTAGTTTCTTATGTGGACAACAAAGTTACCATATACCCATTTTTGTCATTTCAGTTTGATCCTTCAATATCCTTCCTGAAGAAGCAGCCACAGACCTATGTAAGTCACTTTACAACTGCTATGTAAGGGCAATCTTTGCTTTCTGCCTTTCTGATTGCAGTTGAAACCTAATTTGATTTGGCTGTAACATACTGTACCTGTATTGTGTACCAATTAACTTTTTTCTTTATACATTGTGCACTCACATTTAATCATCACAGAAAGGTTTAAATTCACTCATTTTGAATTTCCACAAAAAGCTTTGTCACTACAGATGATGATTATAAGTGATGATCCAGTGTTTTCACTCACCTTGCACCATATCACAAAAGAGCCTCAGAGTAGTCCACAAAGGACAGATGCTGTTGCTTTGTTTGTACATTATTGGTGATCTGCATTACCCAGCAAGGTACCCAACATCTCTATCTGTCCATGGATTACACCTGTTATATGGCTTATTTCATCAGCCAGTTTCCTTGACAAACAATACAACTGAAATCACTCTGGAAAGATTTTCTCTTTCTGTCTAACATTTGTCATATGTCATCATTTGAATTTTGTATAGTCATTAACTGTAAAGAGAGTGATTTGCTACAATCTAACCCACCCATCCAAACCTTACCTAGCATAACCTTCTCTATTCCCTGAACTAACAGCCAACAAAGCCTTCTCACTACTATCTTTCTAAAACGGAAGACATGCTGTGCCGTGTGAGGAATTCACATCAAGTGGCAAATCATATTTGTTGTCCTATTGTTATTGGTGATATGTTTTCCTCATGCATACAACACTATAGAGAGAGAGAAATGAAGGTAAAGTGGATTTGATCACTACATAAGCTGTAGCCAAATTATAATAGTCTCATTAAAGCTTTTGGCTTGCAGTGGAAGGTCAAATTTAAGAACTGCACCTACTATTGCAACCGTTTTAACCTTTAATATTATCTCAAGAAACTTCCTTAAGACTGTTAATTATTATTATACTTGAATTTTTCTTTTAGTAATGTTTGGGTACCCTTAAAAGGAATGTGAGATAATTTGGAAAAAATAAACAAATAAATAAAGTTGATATCATAGAAGCCAAGCTACCCCTTAAATTTTAGATTTGGTCAGGTGTAAATGTAAAATGCTTATACAGTCATGCGCCGGTTAACGTCCTAGATACGTTCTTGGAAACGTGATGTTAACCGAAATGGACGTTGTCCGAAATTACATAAACCTATCGGATTTATTCTAAGGGGGGTTCCAGGCACCCAACCCCAAGTTTCCCATTTTACAACCATTTAGACCCACTAAATATATATGTATAATGTTATGGTAAATATCATAAACACACATAGGCATGGCTAGGTTTATTACAAAGTGATGAAAAGGATAATGTAAAGTGGGTAGTCCACAAAACATGTAGCTATGTCTCTCTTTATTTGAGTGGCCCGTCATAGGGGTCCGTTTTCTCTCACTTCAGGATGCCTGAGTCGTCCGTTTTTTCTTAATCTTAGAGTGCAGTACACCAGAGACTTATTTATTCCTTAGTAATGACACAGAATTTGAAATTGCAACTGGGGTTGCAATTGTTGAGGCAACTTAGCTATGTCTGATTACAGTTGGAATATTCAAGATCCATTGTGAGTGATGTTTAAAGCTTCAACTGTCTTTATGGTTGGTAAAACTTGTCAAGTCTGTCAGTCTGAGTGGCATGTGTGAGGCCTTGTGTTTGTACAACCGCTAAATATATAAATATATAATGTTATGGTAATTATCAGAAACACACATAGACATGACGAGGTTTATTTCAAAGTGATGAAAAATATACCATCAAAACTGTACAATGGGTAGTCCACAAAACATGTAGCCATGTCTCTTTATTTGAGTGCCCCGTCATAGGGGTCCGTTTTCTCTCACTTCAAGACTCTTGAGGCGTCCGTTTTCTCTTAATCTTAGACTGCAGTACACCAGTGACTTCTTTATTCCGTAGTAATGACACAGTATTTGAAATTGCAATTGTTGAGGCAACTAGATATGTCTGATTACAGCAAATGTGTTATTGTCAATTTATGGGTGAAAGATTTTATCCTCAATAGATGTAGGTTAACATTACACCTGCAGGCAAATGTTTAAAAAAAGCCTAATCAAGGAAGCATATTCCTTTAGCACATAATATCTGACCAGTATGGGGAGGATCATCGTGTCTCCGTCAGGGGGTCGTGGAGTGGTGGTCCAGCAGGCGTCGGATTTTTTGAAACACGGATCTATATGCGATCGGACATTGTTCGGTCAGACGTTAACCGGATCATGAGTGTACTGTAGTTAAGTATAGAAGGAAATTCAAGTATGCTTTGTGAAGTCAAATTAATTATCCCTATTTTCCCTTTTATTTGGAGAAGACTACCAGCTTCTTAACTTTAGTTTCATCCCTTTTATTCCACAAGATCACCTGATACCTACATTATGCATGATTGTGCATTATGAGCTTCCAAAACATTAGTTTGGTCCCTATCATTCCCACATAATCACCTGACATTCATCTCATGGATGCATTTCAAAGGATGACCAATGCTAGCAAGTATACAACCATCAAGGGAGATTCTCTCTTGGTAAGAAAGTATCAGCCCAGTGACCCCAGCCACCTCATAGGGGACAGAAGTATTAATGGTGTGTTAGTTATCAAATTGAATAAGAAGCACATTTCAGGAATCATCACCCATGACACCACGCATGGACATGGATTATGAAGACTCCATGGATGGGCCCCCACCTTCTGTAGCCTCAGTGGACTCTGGGATCATTGCTGGAACCCCTAAGTCTGTCAAGAAACCTCCTACTGGGGTATGTTAACCAACTCATACTTCACTATGACAGAGTGAAGACTTGTTTTCTTAATTATTGGGTATAATTTCAGGTCTTAATATAATTGTTGATGAGTAGTTCCCTATCACTTATATTTTGCTGGACAATCTTTATTTAAATAACCTTTATATCATCATTCCAGTTTATGAATAAAGATGTTTTTCATGAAGAACGAATAGTTTTTATTGTGTATGTCGTCTTTACTATCTATTTATTATTTTTTTATCTAAATTCCCCCCCCCCTTCCCATCCCTCCCCCCAAAAAAAATCCCAAATTTTTTCTTTTTCTCTTTGACAGAAACAATTTCAGCAAATGACAGGCAAAAAACAAATGACAGGATATATTCTGTTTGCTGCAGAAATTCGAAAAAGCATAACACTGAAAAACCCCAGTGCTAATTTTGGGGAAATATCTCGCCTCGTGGGGATTGAGTGGAAACGCCTCACGGAGACTGATCGCAAGACTCATGAGGACCGAGCCCATCAGATGAATCTTGAGAGTGCTGAGCGAGCCTTAAGTGGCAATGGCCCAGATTCTCCACAGACACCACAGGTTAGAGTTCCTCTTCTGGTTATAGCACTGTGTGTATGTTGGATAGTTTTACTTATTTCATTTTTTCTTCAAATTCTTTGTTTGCATTAACTTCAATTTTCTTTTGCATTTTATCATATTAGATATCTGCTCGTGTTCTGGGTATTAAGTTCTATATACAGGAGCGAACACAAACACCTGTATGGTTTTGTAGGTTCAATTTACTGGATAAGAGATATGTACACAAAGGGAGTAGCGCTCCTCAACCTGTCTGCTGGTCAACTGCTCTCTAGGCGACGTATGGGAAGTGATACATTAGCAGCTTCCATACGTCGCCAGGCACATTAATTAGGCATGTGGGACATCTTAAATACATTGCCACACACTGCTAGCTAGGCTGAATAAATAATGTATATAAAGGGAGCACATACATAATATACATAGCATAATATATAATACAGCATACATAATATACATACAATATCATTCATGCTAAAGTTTTCCTGAATACATAAACAATTGTATGAAGTTGGTAACATTATGAGGTATTTAGAGTACTCCTCACCAGGTAACAACACCAGATCTACCTCTGCCTAACAACCCTGATGTGGTGTTTGAGTGCATGTGGGAGAGTTGTGACTACATGTTCGAGGACCTCCTTGACCTCAGTGATCACCTGATACTAGAAGCCACAGGTCATGTCCACAAGGTTACACAAGGTAATAATACAAAGTAACTTTTTATCAAATTTAATTTTGTTAATTCTTCATCAATTATAGTGTGTGAATAAAAGAATTTATCTTATTTCTTGTAAAAATTGGTAAGATCACATTAATAATAAATCCTAGCCTGAAAAATAATGTTAACCAGGAAATATATATTTTAAGACTTTGTGTTGTTTATATAAATTTAATTCTGTATTGCCAATTGTACTCTTGTCCTCTCTATGGATCCTTTTAGAATAAAATATATAATTTAGTGTTTGAGTGTGGCTGGCGCGGTTGTTCACGACACAAGAAGAGTTCTCTTGCACCCTTCCCAATGGTGCAGCGGCTGGTGAGACATGTGCGGGAAGTTCACATACAGAAGAACACTGGCCGCATCATACAGCACCATGACCGCTCTAGGTGGGTGTTCTGTATTGATGGTTATTTTGTAATGTTATCTTGTATGTTTTAAGTCTTTCTGTTTAATAATTGTCTGCACTTATTCATTTTACAGTAGACCCCCAATATATCACAAGAGAGGGACGGAGAGTTTCCATGCATTCTTCAATTCTATTACAGTAGAAGTCCAAAAATCCGGACTGCTTGGGGATTGGGTCGGTCCGGATTTTCGGATTTTCCGGATTCTCAGGCAGTACTTTTAAAATTAAAATTTAAGGAGGAATAAAGAAGAGATGAACAGGTACATTTGATAGTTTATTCATTATCAAATAAAGCATGGTTCATTTATCAAAACGAGCAGTTTTAAAGAAAAATAAAGTCAACACTAGACAAAAATGTAAACAAACTGTCTAATACCATGACGAATCTTGAAATTCCTAAGCCATCCATCACTAAATGCGCACTCTGATTCAATGTTCATTTGCTCCTTAAAAGACTTTGCTTTGGCAATAAGCATCGGCCCAGAAATTGCCATACCTTCTGATCGTTTTAACAAAAACCATTCTTGCAACACTTTATCAAGATTTTCTAATTTGGGCCAATATAAACTTTTTCTTTCAGCAATTTTAATGTAAGGCTCAGAAGAAGCTGTGAATTCTAAAAATTTTATTCTTTGCCTTTTTTATATCATAAATTGTAGACTTTCCAATGTTGTATGTTTCCATTAGAACAGCATTGCTCACATTTCATTCTAGTTTCTTAATTATTTCAAGTTTGTCACTCAATTCCAATGTGTTCTTCTTTTTCTTCACACAACGAAGTTTATCTACTTTAGGGGCCATTATTATGGGCTTGTACTCTGTACATGGAAAGAGTAGGACTCAAAATTACATACGTTGTCACAGTTTGATTGCTTGTTTTAAAGTGGCGATTGTGTGGTCGTTTGTTGTCGCTGTGCAGCTGTGGCATTCACGCATGCACACATACACACAAAAGATTTATAGTGCCTCAAATTTTACATTTCAGTTCAAGCTAATTACAAAACTAACAAAATTAGCTACCTATAATTTACAATTAATTTTATTATTAGAATTATGTAAATTAATTTTTTAAAGCAACTCCATTCATTCACATAACCCACAAAAGCCCGCTAAATTTAAAAAGTTTGAGTTTTCGAAAAGTCCGGATTCTCGGGTGGTCCGGATTCCTGGCATCCGGATTTTTGGACTTTTACTGTATATCGATCTCTGTACAGTATTGTACATTAATGGGAAATATAAGGTATGGGAACTCAGCCCCCCCCCCCAAAAAATTCTTAAGACACCACTTTATCTCACTTCAACACCAATTCCCTCAGTTCAAAAGACATTATAACTCATCTTAAACCGGAACAACTGCTTCTTGGATATCACTTGTTCAGATACAAGGTGACTGTTGGAGCAGTAGAACTCAGGGTATTGTGATTCTTACAAGATCTGCGTAGATGCTGTTGGCCAGTGCTAGGTTTTCATCAGCTGATTTATTGTCTTCATTTGTTATTAAACCTTTAAAAACATACATAATAACCAAGTAGTGCAGCAAGCATAGCTATCATTGGCTGAGCAATGCCTTAGAGGGCTATGGTACCATCTATTGACATGCACAGGAAACTTAAGCTTGTCTTATGGCTAATCCATTTGAAAATATTATCTGCAGTATATATTTATTGAAGCAAGCCTAGACTAATTAGGATGATTTGCACCTTTCTGGCTTATTCACATTTTTTCATCAGATGTTTCCTTGATAAAAACAATCTCAAAAGGCTGTGCACAAAATGACTCATGATGTTTAACACCAGTTCTGACATTTCATATTCGTTTGATTTATTTATATGTGTCTGTTCTGCAAGCTATCTGTGGGCTTACACTGTACAATAGCTTACTTCACAATTACGAAAAATGGGAGTGTTTAGGGTGCTGTGTTATATTGGAGGTCTACTGTTTTGTTTCCATTTACTTCCATTGGTATGATAGTTCTTGGCCCTATATGCTCTTTAAAATTTTCTGTAACTTTATGTAACAAAATTAAAATTGAGTAATATTTTTTAAATGGGGCTCTGGAGGGCTCAGAGAATGAATCGATTTATGTTTTAACAGAAACTTTGTGGCATCGTCTCGTCGGTCACTGTTAACTGTGCAGCAGCCAACCCCAGGAGGAACTCCAGCCTCTGGGTTGTACCCTACCACTGGTTCTCCCCATTCCACAATCCATGGTGAGTGTTTCTTTTGTTGGATCTGTGGTGGGATGTAATCCGAGACAAGGTTCTTCAAACTCCAGAGCACGAGCAGTAAATATATTCCATAAGTACAAGACTTGGCAGGATAACCAACAGGTACAAAAGCAGGAGCAAGCACAAAGGACTCCTTGTCGTAACCAGGCCTGAGCCGATCTGAGAGAAGTTAGCTAGCTAGGCAGGGAGAGTTGCTAGACATTACTAGGACAATAAATGAGATCCTCTAGTTACTTGACTAGCGCGGTACAGACATGGTCCATCGGGACATAGTAAGTAGACATAGGCATTAGACATAAGCATAGATATCAGACATGCTATAATAATATATGGTAATACAGACATGTGAATAAATGGTACAATGAATGGTAACAGAGTCTTGCCGTCAGGCGTGTTCACATATCTATACAGGATCTACATTCACCCTCCACCATTACAGCCGGATGAAGTCATAACCATGAGTAGCTGACACAATTGACTCATAGGACACATTTTGTCTGGATTGTATTGTCATTTACACTTGGCATAGATAAATAGTTTATACAATTTCAGTGGAAATAACTGATTTATTCTCTGCATGTTTTTGAGTGCACCTCATCTTTGCCACCAGCTTCTGAGGGGACCCACATCTCAACCCCTCATCCACATCGAAGCACGTTTACACAATCAATGGGGTAGTCACAGGCATAAATAATTTTTATCCAGCTTTTCCCAGTATCTGCATCACTTTGTTGCAATAAGCTTACATATTTTAGAATCATCAGGAGCATGGTAGTACAGGGGGCCCCCAAATTAGCAGGGGTTAGGTTCTCAAAATGGCCGCTAATCGCCAAATCCGCGAATAATTTGCAGATGGGGGCACATTTTTACTTGTGTACAAAGAAATGTGTATTCCCTTTATGTGTTTGCCCTAAGAACAATTATTTCATTTACCTGAAGTATTGTACAGTATATATGTGTGTGTGTATAGACACACACACACACACACAAAACACATACAAAACACATACAATAAATAATAATGGGAAAATACCGGTACTCTCACAAATAATCAGAAACATATTTATTAAAAATGTGAGTCTACCCTCAAGTCCGTGCTCTATTAATAAAGCACTGTAATAGAGGATTGACTTGAGAGTAGACTCACATTTTTAATAAATTTTTTTCTGGTTATTTGTGAGAGTATTTTCCCATTATTATTTATGTGCATGTGTGTGCGTACATGCGTGCGTGTAAAGGAAATTACTGTCTCTAGAACGAATGGCTCCCTGTCCCAGCCGTGAAAATGCCAGCAACTTTAAAACTACCCACTGATATTCTTGGGTACACCAGGGCGTCATCCGCGAATAACCGAGAACATTGGGGGCCCCCTGTATACAGTTCGTAAATTTGGGATATGATTCAGTTTGTCAATCATACATACTTACATATGTGTACTGTACTGTTGTGTCCAGTTACTGGGTTAAAATTGCTACACTACTACTCTCATACATGCTTTAAGGTAAAGGTTCTATAAACAGGTACAGTATATATTTTGCAACTGAGGTATTGACTGCCTTGAAATGTGTGATGCTCACCTACCACAACAATAAATAAGTATTTGTGATGAAGGTACAGTACTGTATTCCATCAAGTGTTATGACCTTCACATCAGGGGTATCATTGTTCATAGGTTTTGTTTTGTGCATAACCTATGCTGCAACTCCAAGCAAAAATAAAGTGAATTGTGCTTGTCTTATATCTACTATTTGCCATAGATGATTGTTTACTTTGTTATTTTAATTGGTTCTGTTTTGTGGTTGTGATGCGTCTATAGTTCAACCTTGTCTGAAGTGCAGCATTATTATTTTATTATGACAACATCTTTTGCACTTTTTTAGTACAGCCATTACAAACCCTTAATGTTGTGTATGTTAGCTCTAGACCAAATTGCCTGTTTGTCATATCTAACTTTTATTAATACAGTATACAGTATACAGACTGTAATTAATAATATTATACATGTGTCTGTTTTTAGATGAGGTCTATAAAAGACTCTATGCACATATACTGTATAATGATAGCATACGTGTTTATGTTTATTTGTAAAGATGTAAAATACAGTATATATAATTTGCATGGCTCAGATGATTAATCATTAGCTACCAAGACTTACAGTGTTGCACTTTCACTTCAGCCACCTCATTGTAAATGTTATTGAATTAACTTACAGCATTAGTTTTAAGTGTTTCATAAAAACATTATTTATGTTTATTTTGTGGCGTCATCTTAAGTTTGAAGCTCATATTGCATGCCACACTCAGTGTTTTGTGAATGCTTGCATGAGTTGCATGATTTCAGGACTACTTCAAGGTCGTGGAAGTCCCTACCTTGCAGGGATGGTGGTGTCCCCTCACTCTGGGCTTATACCCAGCAGTCAGATGGGCAATCTATCCTATTCTATAGGTACCGGTAAGCCTTTTATCTTTTATTTTAAATTATTAAATCCCCTCCTTCGAGGGAAAGCTGTCTTATCTTTACCAGCTGTGTACAGGAATGACTCATTTAGTGAATTCTTCACTGATTCCTCTCTATACTTCTGCTCTTCTTACCACTAGTCCATAACACCAAATTGTTCATGCTGTATAATTGTAATTGTTCTAACATACTGTACAGGCTATTCATAACTGTCATTCTTTATAGTGTCTGTTCTGACTTCTGTCCACAGGGTCAGAAACTACTATAAAAATTATAATTTATTTTTAACCTTCAGTCACCAGACTAAACTCTTTGTGTATAGGGGTGGATCTCTCTGTGCTGAATAAAATTGTCTGGCGTTAGCTTAATAAAACGTTATAAGTGGCATCCTGTAGTGAAGGGGTTAAGGGAGAAAGAGTGAAAAAATCCAGATATCCAGTATGCTATCTGTATTGCACGGAAGTAATGTTACCACTTTGTAAATATTTTTTTGTACAATTGTCTAAATGAATGATGTCACAATTTCGAGAAACTGTCATTCAGAAAGTGGTATCTGGCAACTACCAGACTTGCTTTATTAGCAGGTTTTCATAAGAATATTGTAAGAACATACAATATCATGAAGTTAAAACTTTAGTTTATTTTAAAACAATATTATGACGAGATTATCACTCAGGGGCGTTCAGGAATAAGTTGTGGTGGTATAATTGGATGTCAAAATGAAAAGGTGTTTATTAATTGTGTTGAGCTGAACTGATTATCGAATAAAAAATATGAATTGAGATAATACTCATACTCACCACGTTTATGGCAAGTCTTTAATGAATGTCATCAAAACTGTATATTCCATATTTACCACCTGCATGGATGATGATGTAAGGCAGGAAACATTCATAAGACAAAATTTTGAGCTTTAGATAAACTATAAGTTTAAATAAAAATTTCTTGATATCTTTTTCCCTGGTAATTATAAGAAAATTAGTTTTCATATACAGTATGCCCTGATAATTCGCGGATTTTTAGTTCACGGTCCTCTATTATTCGCGGATGACACCCTGGATGTACCCAAGAATGTCTGTGGTAGTTTAAAAGTTACCGTCATTTTTGCGGCTGGGACAGAAAGCCATTCGTTCTAGAAACAGTTATTTCCTTTATCTGTGTGTGTGTGTGTGTATATATATATATATACTGTATAGTGTGTGTGTGTAGACACACACACAAAACACATACAAATGAATAATAATGTGAAAATACTCTCACAAATAATCAGAAACAAATTTATTAAAAATGTGACAGTCTACCCTCAAGTCTACTTCGTGCCTTATTATTAACAAAGCGCAGAGTAGACTTGAAGGTAGACTCACATTTTTAATAAATTTGTTTCTGATTATTTGTGAGCGTATTTTCACATTATTATTTCTTTGTATGTGTTTTGTGTGTGTGTTTACACACAAAAACACACACACACACACACATATACAGTATATATACAATACAGGTAAAAGAAATAATATCCTAAGGGCAAACACACAATGGAAATACAGTACGTATACTGCACATTTTTTTGTACCGTACCCCCTCCCGGGTGGGGTCAGCAAATGTTATTCGTGGATTTGGCGATTCCTGGCCATTTTGAGAACCTAATCCCCACAAATTTGAAGGGCCTACTGCTCTCTGAGGCTATTATATTATTTAGCACCCAAGAATAAAATTTAAAACATTAAAGATTCCTGTTCAATGGTCATTTGTTATAGATTAATAAGAAAGAGTAAAACTTGCTTCAATTGATAATTTCTATGAAACCTTATTCAACTACAGTAGTAATAATTTTAGAGTAAAAATGCCTTTCATATTGTTCTAAAAATACCAAAACTTCTAAACAAGGAAGTAAGCCAAATGTAGGTAAAATATTCTACACTAGAAGTAAGTGTTGTTGTATCACCTCAGACTGGCTGTCCTTGTTTAGTTTTTCCCCCCTCCATGCATTTTTTTTTGGTCTTCCAAGCATGGGATTGGCATATACAGTAGTTCTATGTTTGCTACACATCTTGAAGACTTTTACCTGCGAAAATATGAGGGAATGACATAAAAAAGTTAGGTAGCGAGAAATTTGGCTCCGCAGTTTGTTAATATAAAGGTTAACAACCCTTTATCTGAAATTCCGAAAACCGAAAAGCTCTAAAAACCGAAAGTTTTTTGTGGGGCTGCCTTTTTTTTTTTTTTTTTTTTTTTTACAGGGATTATTAGCCCACCCAGGCACAGATCACTGATCCACATCGGGGCCTGGGGGGCAAAAATGTAATAGTAATAACAATTATAATAATAATAATTACTCATAGTAAATAAAAAAATTTATAATACACCAAAATAAAATAATAATGATTACAATAATAATAATAATAATAATAATAATAATAAAATACAATAATAAAATTATTAATAATAATAATAATAATAATAATAATAATAATAATAATAATAATAAAGAAATACATGAATGAAAAAAAGATCAAAAGTGAGAAACACGACCTAGACCTATGAATTATTACTGTATTATTATTATTATTATTATTATTATTATTATTATTATTATTATTATTATTATAATTTTTATTATATTTTCGCCCCCCAGGCCCCAATGTGGGTCAGTGATCTATGCCCGGGTGGGCTAATACACATTTAAAAAAAAAAAAAACCTAACCATTCTGAAAACCGAAAAATTCCGTAAACCGAAATGCCTCTGACCCCAAGGATTTCGGATAAAGGATTGTCAACCTGTACCATCTAACTTCAACAGCGTCCAGCCCACTGGTCAGTCAGTTGCTGGGCTTTTGTCAAGTTGCCAGATACTGCTGTTTGAACTAATCATACTGAAAACCATGACATCACCTTGTTGGATGATTGTACCTTTATATCGTGTTATGGTTTTCTATAAAACTATACTGTACTTGTTCATAAAAGTTTATAAATAATGTTAGAATTATCTTTTTCTCCCAGGTGTGAATGGCAGTCCAGTTCCCCCAAGGACTTTTGACCCAGTTTTTGTAGCACCTCCCCCCAAGACACAGAGACTTCTTCATTCAGAAGCCTATATCAAGTAAGTTTAGTGAAATTAGTAAGGGAAAGTACTGTGAAAAATTGCTTAATGATGGCAGTTGTTGATAAATTTATAGCTAGTATCTTGAAGTGGCTTGTATTTTTTGAGAGACCGAGTGCAGAAAGAATGAATGAAGCTACGAGTATAGTGACAAGAAGCCTGCTTATAAAAAAGTTCTGAGAAATTTAGAAAGTCTTTATTTGTGATTGAATCTATGTTTAAAGCAGTACATTCATCATCATCATCGCTGTTTTATGGCTATTTTCCATGCTGTGGTTACCTGATAACTTGGTGTCCTGGTTACCATCAAACATACTAAAAGCAGATTATTTGGCTGGATACTCTTCCTATCGCCAACCCAGTTAGAGATTGAAATCTTACAAAGAACAGTACATGGGAGTAGGGCAATTGAAGAGTTGGGAAGTGTCTATAAGAGAAGAAATGTAAATTTAGAAGTGAATAAAGAGCTGAAAAATGCACAATCCTTCTTGTCTTGACATATAGTTGGGAAAAATATGTAGAATGAAGGGCTGCCTCTAGTATTAGTAGAATGCTAAGGGGCAAGAAATAGTGAAGTGTACAGGATGTTTGGAATGGCTAAATCAAAAGCATGGAAAATGGCCATAAAACATTAGTTATGATGAAGTGGCCAGTAAAGAAAAATAAACTGAGATAGTATGGACAGGTGAGATGGATGCCAAAGGAATATATGCAGATAATATACTGTATGTGTTGGGTAGAGGGAAACAACTTGTTCATGAGTGGGAAGTATGCAACAATACATTGAGAGAATGATCAAAGGGAGAAAAGGGAAAAAAGAAAATTCAGTGATTGGGCAACCCAGCAGCTTTGATAAAATGAAACTGAGAAATGGAAGGACAGATTGAGGGGGATAAAGTTAGTGAGAGAGGATTACCTCAGTGTAAGATAGTACCGAGGTGTACCAATACTGTGCAGTAGAATGTCAATATAACCGAGATACGTACCAAGAGAGGTCGCTTTAAACCGAATTTGCACTAAATCGAAGTGTTGTTTATATGGAATAATTTAGTTTGGTACTTGAGAGAAACACAAAATACTAAAAAGACTGACAGTCTACCCAGATGCACCTCGGCCCATCTAGGATAAACAAAACATTGTTTTTTGTAGTATATTGTTAAAATAAACACTCTTAAATCAACACAGCTAAAATTATTAGGACGTGAAATGGTCTGTGTACTAGCAATCAGCTGATGTGAGAGGGTCATGTGTCACCGCTGCGCAGGTTTGCCAAGTCCAGCTTGTCCTTTTTTGAGACCTGTTTGTCCTTTATTTTCAAAATAAAAAAGTACAACTGTTAACTGTCCTTATCTGAATTTTAAGTCTATACTGTACTACACAAAGGTAAGTATAGCTAATATATATATATATATATATATATATATATATATATATATATATATATATATATATATATATATATATATATATATATATATATATATATATATATATATATATATATATATATATATATATATATATATATATATATATATATATATATATATATATATATATATATATATATATATATATATATATATATATATATATATATATATATATATATATATATATATATATACACACACACACACAGTTGGGTCTTCATTTACGCGGTCAATTGAACCCGCGGAGTTCCACGTAAAACGAGAAATTCTTAAATGAAATAACAGAACATATGGGATTAATTGAAATGGAGACTGGGCCGACCCCCAAACTCCACTTTTTCCGACACAATACGTACCTTGTAGTCAAAATAACATCTTAATTTTATGATGATATGCACACACAATTAATAATTAAGAGAAATATCAATAATATTAGGTTTTTTAACACTTACATTAGTAGAAAAGATGGCTGGGCACACGGGGATGGGGGGTTGGTTCCGAGGCAGAGGGCAGATTATTGGCCCTCACCTGTATCACTTGTATCAATTGTATCACTATCCACCACAGAGGCTTGCAGGGCCTCTTTGTCAAACCCCTCAAAGTCCATATAAGTCCATATCCTCACTATCATTATCACTATCGCTGACTTGGGCCGGCTGTGGTGGGTGGCGGTAAATCACATCTTTCAACTCTTTAGTTGACATATGGTCATCACTTTCAATTTCCTCCTCACCACTGTCGGCCTCTAACATCTCATCCAGTTGCTTCAAGTCATCAGGAGTAAGTTCCTCCTCATGAGACATCACAAGCTCTTCAACATCATCATCCTCCACTTCAAGGCCCAATGACTGACCAATGGACACAATCTCCTGGTCCAACTCTGTGTCATCCTGAAATCCCTCAAAATCATGGACTACTGATGGCCACAGTGCTTTCCATGAAGAATTGAGGGATCTAGTGGAGACTTCTTGCCATGATGAAACAATCAATTTTACAGCCTTCAGAATGTTGAATTGTGTCTTCCAGAACTGTTTCAGTGTTAGTTCAGGATCATTGGAAGTTGCCTGATGACACCTCCTAAACATTTTCTTCATGTACAACTTCTTGAAGTTGCTGATCACATTCTGGTCCATTGGCTGTATGAGTGATGTAGTGTTGGGAGGCAAAAACAACACTTTCACAAAGTCAAATTGATACTCCAAAGTTCTGGCAAGTTCAGGGTCATGACCAGGAGCATTATCCATGAGGAGAAGAGCCTTTAAAGGGAGTTTATTGGTGGATAGGTAGCTCTTGACAGAAGGGCAAAACACATCAACAGCCCATTCATTAAAGAGCTGTCTTGTCACCCATGCCTTACGGTTGGACTTCCAATAAACTCCAAGCTTTGTTCTTACCACTTTCTGTTGCTTGAACACCCTGGGATTTTCAGAGTGGTAGACAAGCATAGGCTTCAGTCAGAAATCCCCTGAAGCATTGGCACCAAGCAATAGAGTGAGACGGTCTTTCATGGGTTTATGCCCAGGTAAAGAGGCTTCATCTCTGGTGATGAATGTTCATTTGGGCATCTTTTTGCCAGAACAGCCCAGTTTCGTCCACATTGAACACTTTCTGTGGAAGATAATTTTCTTCTTCCATCAGTTCTTTAAATTCCACTAAAAACTTTGCAGCCCCCTCCTTATCAGCACTAGCAGCATCACCATGCCTAACAACACTGAAAATGTCACTTCTTTTCTTAAATTTTTCGAACCAGCCTTTGCTGGCCCGTCTTCAAATTCTGTGCCTGAAGAACCAGGTTAATCTGTCTTTAAATGTTCGTAAATCTCCCTGGCTCTTTCACAAATGAATTCAGTAGAAACTGAATCACCTTTCATCTGTTTTTCCCTAATCCAGATGAGAAGTAACTTCTCAGTTTCTGCAATTAGGGATCTACTTTTAAACACTGGTAGATGTGTCTCTCACTTTCACTTCTTTAAATTTGTCTTTCTGTGCAAGAATTGTCGACACAGTTGATGTCGACATGCCATATTCTTTGCATAGCGCATTTGTTTTAATGCCTTGTTCTTGTTTTTTATAATTTCCTGCTAGGTTTGGATTGATGTTTTTATGCAGTTATATCTTTATTATACATTAAATTCAGCAGTAAAGGAAGCCAGAACTGGGTATCTGTAATGGTTACATATAGATTTATTTTTTATATCAATATAATTGAACTTTATGTATGAGCTAATGAGCTGTAAGGGGGGCGGGCTTGTACCACCAGCAAAAAAAAGGCTGTAGTCAGTCATAGCTCTTTGTTTAATGATTTCATCTTGATTATTGTTTTGCAGATATATTGAAAATTTGGACAAGCCCTTCCTCAGCAATTGGGAGAGACATTTAATGGCCACTCAAGAAAATACAGTCATTAATGATTCTGGTCGTCTTCCTGCGCAGTGGCTTGCCAATGGACCTGGATCTCATGGTACTGTTGTTAATGCTCTGTGGGCTCTCAGGGAGTATATGATGAAGGATTCCCTGGGCATTGCTAAAATTTTGTGACCCGACACAAAGTCAGAAGATTTGAAGAAGGAAGAGGCAGGTAAACCTATAAATCAGAGTCAGACAGCAGTGGTGGCAATTCTTCCAAAGAACTTTTCCTTCACTGTGTCTACATCCGTCAATGAGCTGGGGTGATTCTCAGGCATGTGTGGTTTTGTTTAATGTAAGGGTTTTAATTTAATTATTCATTATCGGGTAAAAACCCTATGTATAATATAGTTCTGATAGAGCAGCAACCCAAGCCATGCCTCCACAATTATGCATGACGTAAGGTTTTTCTGTTCCCCTTTTTTTAAATTGCCATTCTGTTTAGAATTTTAATGTCACATCAGAAAAATATTTTGATGTGTAATTTTTTTAGTTCTGCTAAAGGATACAAATTTATTTCAAAGATATATCACAGTGTCATTTTTAAGCAAAAATAATAGCATTTTATCCCTTTCTTTATTTTGGATTAATTATTTCTTCTCTTCTGCAAGGTGAAATTTTATTATTTTGCCATTTTGAGAATTTATAAGTTGTAGGCAAGATGTGTATTCATGATTACACATTACCATTCATCTAAGTTTCAGGTAACAGTATAGTAATTTTGTTTCTCTAATACTGTTTATGCCTTCCTGACTTTTGAGTGGCATTAAAATACATTCCTCTTTTTAGGGCAAAATTTGAATCAGGTAGTTGTATAATGGAAAATATTGCATCTGGGATGATCTCATTTATCTGATTGGAAATAGTGATAATGTTACTTGTAAGTTACTTTTCAAATTGATGCCTTTTATGTGCTTCAAGAAAAAATATCTGGTACTGCTTACATCTTTCAAAGATATAGTAAAGGAAAATATTTACAGTAAAAGTGTCTAGGGATGCTACTAACTTCCATTATATATATATATATATATATATATATATATATATATATATATATATATATATATATATATATATATATATATATATATATATATATATATATATATATATATATATATATATATATATATATATATATATATATATATATATATATAAAATGGAGTTACATGTGTACCTGCAGTTGAGTTCATGCCTGACAGTTAATTTTTTCCCTTTGATTTTGTAAACAGTAACATAGCTTACACTTACTCAAGACTTTGACCACTATATGGGGTGTGTTATTGGATAGGATGGTTAATTTTTTTAGAGAAATGTTAGTGGGCATTAAATCTCATACATAAAAGTATGCATACTTCACACTGCAATTTTTCTTATCTCATTAAGAAATTGTATAAGACCACACTGAATACATTTTGTGTTTACAGAGAGAGTTGTAAATTCAATTGTGCCAAAAATAAATTGTCCAATATTTGCAGACATTTTCATATTCAAACTGTGTCTGAAATTGCACTTTCACTCACGTTAAGAAATGAAAGTAGAAATTGGGTTTATTAAATTATTATTATTATAAGCAAACTCTTTCCAGTTTATAATAAACTTGAGGGAACTGAGCATCAAATCATATCCAGTATTGTTAAAGAGTACTACAAAAAATGCCTGATCGAAGGTGGTCTCGTTTCTTACATCTGTTAGTCTAAGGGAGAAATACCAAACCAAGTTTTAGAGGAAGCAGTTTGCTCTGTTACAGTAATGTTCAATATCATCATCCTAAGATGTATGAAATTCATTTAAGTAAAATTGTATTTTTCATTGAATTCTGAAAGGAATGTTACGAGAGATAAAGAAGAGACCTTGAACAACACTTATGCCCAAGACATACAATTTATTGGAAGACTATTTTTTTACAATATATTTTTAAGCTCTGGTATATAATATCAGCATTTTTTTTAACACTTAGCTCGTGCCTTTTATCTTTTTTTTTCCTGCATAGGTACATGATCAGTAGAGTTAACAGTACATTTTAATTTAACTTTAATGTTGAAGAAGATTAGCATGTGCTTTTAAGACTGATAGTTTAAAAAGTTTAATATGCAATGTGCTTTGTTGCTGTGGGAATAAAGGTTACACCTCCCTTGATAGTTGGTGCTGAAGTATCATATTGATGTATCTGTGCTGCCATATATCACAACATATGCACTTGTTCTAAATGGTACCAGCATACTAATAGTTTTGGGAACTATCTTCTGCTGGAGTTGTTATTTTATAACATTCTTGTTACTTCCCTGTAATAGAAGGGAAGGGTTTTACAAAATCCAAAATTATTGTATCTGTTTCAGTGAGTCAGGATGACTGTCTTTGGCAGTGATAAGACGTTCGGAGGTTGTGAGTTTATTTTACACATTGAAGTTATTATGTTGTCACTAACTTTCAGGTCTCTTTGGTTTTCTGACAACAGGTACCTTTATTACTCTGAACATGACCATCCTATGCACACCTTAAACATTATTAATTTCAGGATTTTTTTCTCATTTGCATTTTATTTGTGTCATGAAAAAATTAGCAAACAATACTCCATTCACACTTTTAATGTATATAGTTTTATTTCTTTCTTTTGAAGTGTTCTGCACTATAAGGTGAATTAAGACACTGTTGCATGGAAAAATACATCTGTTTATGAGATTTGTGGCTGAACACGGCCAGGGATGCTGATGTAACTTTTCTTGTGTCATTTTTCTAAACCTAAAGGTACAAATGTAGTGGTCCAGATTCTGAACTATGTTAGCATTTTGTTTTTATCATTAAGATTCATTTTACTGTTAAATAGTTCCTTACTGGACCACATGCTGTGAGGTATTGCTTGTGATCTCCAATGGTCATGAAAATATCCAAACCGGTACTGTCATTTCAGCTAACCTTTTAGAAGGTACAGATCTGAAGTAATTTATTATTTTCATGTAGTATGAAACTCACTCTTATTATTTTTTTATTTTCTTTAATAAATGTTCAGAGCTCTCCCCTCCACCTTTCTTTTCTGTTTTTCTTCTCTTCTAAGCTGTGCTGTAGGGAATACTGTCCAAGACTCGAGTGGCATACATGTGCAATTTTCAGAGGAACTAGTTATAGATGTTGTAGTAAATTGTGTTAGGTTTAGATTTATACACATTTTTATGAATAAAGACATTGCAACTTCAAATTCCAGTTTCACTGTCCAAACAATTATTTTAGCCAAATAATTATTCTTATTGCCCGACCATCAGAAACACGAAGCTTGTAGTAGCAGGCGTTTTTTTTTAGAACGTGCTTCACACACTGCACAATGGGTCGGGATCCCTATCCACAGGGAAGGGCTACCAACGTCCAAATTAGCATGGTGGTTGGTGCTTGGTTTGCTGCAAAACATACAGTAAAACCCTCATAATTCGAAATCACTTATAATTCGTAATGTTTTGCCATTTCAAAATTATCTTACAAAATTGTTAAAACAGTGTACAGTATTTAGTAAAATTTTGATGTATGAGAGACATTTCAAAATATTGTAAACCAGCATGTGTGTTGAATCTGTTGGTCAGGGCCAGTTCACATTAGTCAAGGAGTGCAAGTCTACGATCTACATCACAAGATTTTTCCATCATTGCTTAGTGTTTGAGCCATATGTCTGATAACCTTGACCCAAGTACCTCAAAAGAAGCTTCTAAGAAGAAAGCTGTCAAGTCGAGAGGCAAATACAAGAGCTTAAACATCTAAGGTGAGCTGAAAGTGTTCGAAAGGATAGAAGCTGGCGGTACTGTGCGCAAGATATGCACAGACTTCAACTTAAGTACCACTACATACAACATCAAGAATAACAGAAAAGCTGAGAAATTATGCTTTGAAGCTGGAAGAGCCTGGAGAAGCTACGTCCAAGAAGAAACACATCAAGGGAGTTAAGTATTACAATGAGCTTGATGATGCCGTGGTTAAATGGTATAAGCAGGATCAGGCAGCAGGGGTTCCAGTCAGAGGTATAGACCTCCAGTCTGCTGCTGAAAGTTTCACTGCCAAATTGAATATTGAAGGGTTCAAGGCCAGTAAAGGCTGACAATCTGCCGGGACTGCCTTCTGGCCTGTAAGTGTTTCTGAATAATGACACATGACGATGTTCCTGATCAATTGGGTGGTGGTGAATGTGAATATTGCCCTTAGACTAATGGTGATTTTACAGTTTTGTAATTTATTAAAAATTCAAAGTTAATTTTTTTTACTTTTTAGGAACAGGACAATTATGTCCACTCCAAATCAAATACCATGATGATTAAAAAGTTAAAATAAAATATTTCATCATTATCATCATCAATGTACTACGGCCATTTTCCACACTTGTGAGTTAGCTGCAATTACTTGATGGTATCTTCTCTTGTAAGGTTCTAAACTCAACTTTATTTCTTTCACCCTCTCCCGTCATTCTCGGCTTATCCCTGGCTTTTCTTCCCTACACATTTAGACTCCTGCACCACTTTACCTAGTCAGTCTTATCCATTCTCTCCACGCGCCCAGACCATCTCGGCCTACTTGTAAGCAAAACTTTGCCAATACTGTACTCTTAATTCCTAGCTGTCCTCTCAGCTCTGTGCAGGGTTTCCTGTCTTTCCGTGTCATATTACATATTCATTTCACCATTCTCATTTCAGCTTGCTAAAACCTTACACTGTATATCATCCGCTTTAACTAACCATGTTTCACTGCCATACATCACATTTCTCATGCCAGTTACATTTTTCCTTTCACATGGAGGGAAGGTCCTCTTGCTGATAGTAAGGTCAACAATTCCCAAAACTTCCTCCAGCCACTTCTGTCTCTTGTAACTGAGCAGGCTTCAGCATCCCCTCCAGCACTGATCATGTCACCCAGGTAACAACTCATCGACAAATTCAGGGACATATTCCTAGACTTAAGTCAGAATCATTCTGCAGTCTGTCATTCACTTCATTGCACTTCTTGTTTACTCACTTTCTGCTCTCATTGCACATTATTGAGTTGCTGCCAGCACCTTCTTACAGACAGCACATGCCTCTTTTCACATTCCACCAATGGTCCCCCACCCAAGCCACTAATCAATACTTTAAATATGCACCATTCACTCTTTCATAATTCAATAATGCCTTGTCCAAAGAAAAAAAAATACTGTATTGTATAAAAATGTGCTGGCACTTCTAATCATCATCATCATCTCTATTTTACAGACATTTCCCATGGTTGCATGTGATAGCCATGATTACCTATGATGATTTTTATTTAATCCATATGGTACAATGAATGACAAAACTTTTTGTCATGACTGTATTGATGTTATGAGGGTACATGGCCAACTTAAATGAATGCATAAATAACTGTACTGTATTATTATCGTGTTAGAAGTAGAGCAAATTCATAAAAGTAGGTGATTCAAATAATTCTTCAGCAGATACTCTTAATGCTAAAATAAATATAAACATGATTACCACATACAATATTTACAGTACACTTTGTTCATATCAAGAGTTCTGTCAATCCCATTATTGCAATTATTCAAGTAACAACCATATTCTTTTCTTCATATTTCTAATTAATCTTGTATATACTGCATATCACCGTTACTTATTTTCCAATGACAGATCACGAGTCATTACCAACTACAGTACAATACAGGTATCCCCCAATTTACAATCTCCCTATTTATATTTCACTTGAACGATGGTGATGTATTAACCTTTTCGCTGCATTTCGCACACTTGCCATTTTATTCTGGCTACCACTGGATGATTTTATTCAGCTTAGGATAACCTCCCGCAGCCAAAGGGTTAATACCACTTCCTTATTTACGATAAATAAAAAAAATTTGCAAGAGAATTATCATCATTCGGCCAAAATCACTGATGCGCAGAATATGCAATGCATCTCTCGCTACATTTGACAGCTGCAGTATCATTTACCCACTGGCGGCGTGTGGATACTCAAACTATCCAACCAGAAGTGAATTCGTAACAATGGTTTTTAATTATACAAATTTAGGGCACGAGTTAGGTAAACATTAGTTTAGAAATAGAGTAGTGGATGAGTGGAACAAGTTACCAAACATCATCATTAACTCGAATACACTGGATAGCTTCAAACATTAGTTGGATGGATATATGAGTGATAGGGGTTGGGTGTAAACGGGACTGCCCAGTATGGGCCAATAGGCCCGCTGCAGTTTCCTCCATTCTTATGTTCTTATTGCGCTACAGTCCAGCTCCTTGTTCCAAGGTGATAGCATCCGCCCATGATCATGTAGCTCAATGATATTATCGGTCAGGATCGGTGTTGTTACTTATCAGCGGTTTTTTTTTTTTTAATAGTGAAAGGACATGACTAACATTCACATTGTCCTCTGTTTTTGTGACGAAGTAAGTTTTGCTTTTTTTTTTTTGTAATTGTAAAGTGCTTTGTCTCCGTTGTGAACACGATGTGAAGGAGTGTTGGCCACTATCATTGTTTTTACATTATCATCTGTGTTTTTTCCCCTCAGTGAGATAACATCACTAACATTCAGAATGTTAGTGTCTGTGGGATATGACAAGTACTTTCACTTAGTTTTTATGATTGTGAAGTGTTTTCTCTGTTTTTGTGACAAGTGCTTTCTCTGTTTTGTGACTGAAGTGAGCAGTGTACCTTTGAAAATGCCTAACAAGTGTTTTGCTGAGTCTGGGAAGACCAAGGCTCAGGAGGAAAACAGTGTCTCTGGAGGTGAAGCTTGACATTGTAAAGCTGTGCGGGAGTCAGAGTGACATCTCCACTCCACCCTCAAGAGTCCCCTTAGCCTCGAAGGGGACATGTGATGATTACCAGGCGTGTTCTTGATGTGGTGAGTGTTGTAAAATTGCTTTAGATCGTATATTAGTGTAGGATTTTTTTTTCAGTGATACATGTAAGTGTTGGACTGGCTGGGAACATATCCCATTGAACCCCATGTTATAATGCTCCTGATTTATGAAATTTATATTTGCGATTCTTTTTCAGGAATTTAATCCCATCATAAATTAAAGGATACCTGTACAACCTTAACTTGGAGTAATAGCTAAGTCTCTGCCTTCTTTCAATAACTGTCAATTCAATTTCTTTATGTCAACTTTCCACAACAATATCTTCTCCACACTATTGGTGTTCTCAAAGAACACCTTGAATATCAACAGAGTTCCTAAACAGATGAAAGCGAGAAAAAAACATATTGGAAGACTAGATCACTATTTACACACTTTGTTCTCTCGGTTTGTACTATCTCTTGCCAACAACACTAATACCAAATAAAGACTTTGCTTGATTGTACCTATGGCAAATACTTAACAAGAGGTCTGTGAAATTATAAACGGGTACAGTATACAGTAACCATCTCTCACTGTATCTTTTAGACTAAGACTGAAAATTGCTGAATTTTGCAGAGTGCAATAAACCATACTTTAACACAGTGCAGTACATGTAAGGTAACTTAAAACACCCAAAAAATTACCATTAACTTGTATTAAATATACAACTGAATAAATAGTCAGTAAAATAAAGTTAAATAAATGCAATCCTGAACATAAGTGATACTATAGTACAGTAAACCATACAATATAGTTAAAACAAAAGAAAATAATAAACAAGTAAAGGGGGTCCCCGACTTACGAACACCCGCTGATACGAACGAGGTCCCATAAGGTCAATTATTTTTAAAAATCTGACATAAGTACAACTGGTTTGCAGTTACATACGAGAACTTGTTTGTGTGGTGTACAGGGGAGGCGGAGCGGTGCATGGGGAGTGATGCATCGCACCCAGTCATGCGCCTTAAGTGAGAGGGCGCATCAGTACCCTTAATCCTTACCGCCTTAACATGTGTGATCCAGAGCAAACTGTAGTTTTTTGTTTATTAACTCTCTTTTTCAGCCCTCATCATGGCTCACAATTGTAAACCTGATGCAATTGATACAGTAGAAGTCCAAAAATCCGGAAAGCTCGGGGATTGGGTCGGTCCGGATTTTCCGGTTTCTCAGGCAGTACTTTCTAATTTGGGCCGATGTAAACTTTTTCTTTCAGCAATTCTATTGTAAGGCTCAAAAGAAGCTGTGAATTCTAGAATTTTATTCTTTGCCTTTTTTATATCATAAATTTTAGACTTTCCACGTTCTAGTTTCTTAATTATTTCAAGTTTGTCACTCAATTTCAATGTGTTCTTCTTCCTCTTCACACAAGAAGTTTATCTACTTTAGGAGCCATTATTATGGGCTTGTACTCTGTAAATGGAAAGAGTAGGACTCAAAATTACATACGTTGCCACAGTTTGATTACTTGTTTTAAAGTGGCGACCGCGTGGTTGCTTGTCGCTGTGTAGCTGTGGTGTTCACGCATGCACACATAAACACAAAAGATTTATAGTGCCTCAAATTTTATATTTCAGGGCAAGCTACTATAATTACAAAACTAACAAAATTAGCTACTGTACCTATAATTTACAATTACTTTTATAGAATTATGTAAATAAATTTTTTTAAAGCAACTCCATTCTTTCATGTAATCTACAAAAGTCCGCTAAATTAAAAAATTTGAGTTTTCGAAAAGTCCGGATTCTCGGGTGGTCCGGATTTCTGGCATCCGGATTTTTGGACTTTTACTGTAGTAGTGCATCCAAGAAAAGGAAAACAATTATGATGGAAGTGAAAGTTAACATAATTAAATGTTCTGAAAAAGGCAAAACACCCTCAGTGATCGTACATTGAACTACAAACCAGTTTTGTCGGATTCTTAAAATAATTGACCTTATGGGACCTCGTTCGTATCGGCGGGAGTTCGTAAGTCGGACATTCATAACTCGGGAAACCCCTTTACTCTAGATTTGAACTCTATTTATGACATCCATCACATGCACCTTTAATCAAATTCAAATAAAATCGAAGCAGTGTTTCCTGAATATAGTTGCCCAAGGAAGAAGCAACAAGTCCATACACATAGACACATGAAAGTGACCACTTAAGTACATATATACAAGTATATACAGTACATCAATGTAAAAAAATATTCTAAAACCAAAATAGAACCTAAAATTATAATAAAATATGAGGTTGACATTGTCCTTCACCACCAAAATATCACACACTTGCGGTACTTTATATATATACAGTGGGGTATGCTATAACGAATCTAATTGGTTCTAGAACCTTGTTCGTTATAGCATTCGTTCGTTATAGGATTAATCCATTCCAGGCCCCCAAATACAACCACTTAACACTGAAAAATATAATATAAAATTGTAAAAAAGTGCATAAATATGCATCTAAACCCCTGAAATAAAGAATATCATTAATATTTGTAATAAAAAACAATAAATTAATAAAAAAAAAAAAAAATGTTCGTTGTAGGAGTTTCGTTCGTTATAGCATTCTCAATTTTATAGGTAAAACCGTTCGTTATAGGAATATTCATAGTAGAATCCATTCGTCATAGCATACCCCACTGTATATAAACCCTTTGTTTATTGTAAAATCGTAAAAAAAAAATGGGTAATGCAATACATATTGTGGCAGGCATAGCCAAAGTGGTATTTCAAGCTAATATTTATTTCACCTAAATCTTTGTAAAGTGAAATGAATTTTTTTTTTTAACATTTAACACTAGTTAAGAAAAACTACAAAATCCAAGGTCACCTTTGCTTTCACATTATGTTTGTCTAACCATTCAGTTATTCACATCATAATTACATCTAAATCCACTGGCCATAAAGTCAGTTATCTACAGTAAACCAGATAACTGAGATTCCATGTATAAAATGTCAAGTTTTGCTGGTACAGTACAGTACCAACTTAAAGGTTAAATATTTCCCTTCAGTCAATAATTTATCAGTTTACCTTTCAATGGAATGTTTTGTTGTCTTTAATTGCAAGGGATAATTCTTCCTTCTTTACTTAAACTTCTAATATTTAACTTATGTACAGCAAATAACAAAAGAGATGTGTGTTGTTGCAGCTCAACATTGCTGGGTTTCCATCCATCTGTTAATAAATAAACCACCCAAAATGACATTCAATTATTTGGCTGAATCATTTGGTTAAAGTGAAGATGTAATAGTTAACTAAGTCCAGAATCAACCAACTGCCCATAGTATCCATGTTGACAATTGCATCTACAGATCCATAAGAGGTGTATACAGGAGAAGTGGTAAGACTATATTATCCACCTGGTCTGTTAAAGCCTCCACTACTGCCACTAATGAAGCCGAGATCACAAGACGGCCCCAGGCTGCCAGAGAAACATCCACTACACCAATTCCTACTAATACTAATACTGCCATCATCTGGGCTATCACCCCACACAAACTTCCCTCAACAGTCTTCTTTGTTCCTGACCATCGTCTACGTCCCAGATAAGTTCCACCAACAGAGGCTGCAGTATCTCCTACCCCAACAGCCAAGACTCCAGCAAGAAGTGGCAAAACTGACTCAGGTGGCAATTTGGACATAACCTCAACTTCAAGAAATTGGCAGGGGCTGATCCACAATGGTGATGCTACTCCAGCCAACAAGTAGATATGGCTAAGGACCAGTGTGCCTCCATCTTTTTCATCAAGGAAAGTGGAAAAGGCCTGGGATATGATTGAGGCTATGGGCTCTATCTCCTTTACTCTCACCATCTGTAATAACAAAAGGATTTTTTGTTGTAAGGACAGTACAATATTCAGGAAGTATTTTAATACTTATATAAATAATATCTAAACAATAGATTCCCCCAAAAAAAGAACAAAAGAACAACTTTGAAATGCCATTTCTTGCCAAGGGAAATGATATTATTCTGCCAGAACTTCCCCTGGAACAACCTGCCTTGTATACGGGAGCGAGCTGCATTCGTCTTTTACGGGAATTAGCCCATCCAGGCACAGGTCGAACGACCCACAACAGGGTCTAGGTTAGTAATAATGTTCTTATAAACAGCTACTCACCCACTCAAATTATGGTTTATGAAACAAAAAGTCTCAACCTTTGCTTTGTGGTTACTTCTAAAGCCAACAAGCCATAAGGTACTCCAGGATAACTCAAACCCTTTAATCATAAACTGGGGTCACAAGAGTCAATTATCCAACATGTCCAGGTCCCCAAGGTATTCAGACACCATGTTTTTGATTGTATGAGGTTAGTGTTGCAACTTATTGTCTTTTACGGCACATAAGGCGCACCCCATCCCCCCCAAAAAAAGGCTAAAAAATAACCCTGCGTCCAATTTGTGACATTGTGGGTCTCTCGCAGGCTAATGAATCCCCCAGATGCTGTCTCCAATAGGTTAATTTACCTGGCCCAACCCCAGAATAAAAATGTTATTGTAACATATTACTGTATGTATTATTATTATTACTTTTAATTAATTAAAAAAGGAATTACTGCAAATATTAAAGCTGGATAACCAGACAAGATTATCGTCTGTACAGCACCCAACTCTTCACAGCTAATCAGTAACCCTTTCTGAACTCTTACAAGCATTACTAATACAGTATCTATTACTGTCACACCTACCACATTTATCTTATTATTTCTATTAGGAAACATCCTTTAGCTTTTGAAAGAAACTTGAAATTATGATGATAACAGTGAATAATGCTGACAGCCATCTATCGGCATGCAACAAAGACTAGTATTAAGTTGCCATTTCATGTTAACCATAGTATGAAAATCTTAGTACAACGAGTAACGATCATAGCTGCAACAACTTGGTAATAACATACGTACAGTGAACCCTCGAAGACCCGGAAAAGCTGATTTTCCGGATTTTCCGGCGAATAATAAATGATAGAAGAAACACCAAAAAGACAGTACTAATGTAGTGATAAACAAATTACCGTATTTAAACCATGCATTTACCTATGATGACATAATAAGAAACACTATCATTACTAGAGTGAATGAAATAATATTCCCACAAACAACAATTGTCAACTCTGTTTATGCTTCCCACCTCCTCGGGCACCTGTGTCCGAGTAACTGACGGGTCAAGCAGCGCCAACAGGCCTAAAATGTTCTTTGCTCTGGTTTGGAAATGCTTCTTATGGAAACTTCTAGGAAGCTTCTTCGCCCAGAACCCCCAAATTTTTTCTTCGGATCTTCCGAAATCCGGATTTCCCGGGTCCTGATCTTCGAGGGTTTACTGTATCAACAAGAACAGTGCTAACACGTTGAGTTTATGCTATTTTACCTTCATTTTAAGAACACTGGCCACAGGAGGGAAAAGATCAAGCTATACTATTAGCTACACACTTGCTGTATCATGTTTCATATTAGTAGGAGTAAACATTAAATGTTTAAATACATAAACAAAAATATTACCCAAAGTGTTCCCTGCTGAATTGGGGGATACATTTTATATGCTGTAAAATACGATATATCTTTCTTTATGAATGAAAATAACTGGGGTAAAATTATTATGTAAACCTCCATTAAAATAATTTTTCTGCAGGCTAAAAATGGTATTAAATATAGGAATAAAGGATTGAAATGAAATCCTGTTTAATGACCACAAGAAAGGAACAAGTGACCTGCCTTTGCCAGAGTATCTTAACATGGATACCTTCTACACTCACCTCCAACAACAAGCAGAACATAACTGCAGCCGTGGCAGCTAGATGGGTGAAGGCAGGCTCTAGCAGTATACCCGGAGTGAACACCAAGATTATCACAACATGGTAAACTTTACGAAGTACTGTGGTCGCTATGTTGCTTCTCCTGGGGGAAAAACATACAAAGGTAAATCAGGTATCAATACAATGAAAGTAAGCATAACATGGTCTTCAATGCAAAACTATTGTTAATGAAGTCCAAAATTCATTAAGTTTGTATGAGTGATGAAAGTGTGCAGTCCCGCACAATAATTTTAGGACACTTGTGGGCAGATAGCGGCACCTGGCATGTATTGTTATTTACTACAAATACTATACAGCAAAACCTATATACACTGGAATTTGCTTTTTTCAGACTCTGAGGTGCTGCAAACTGCCTCGCTATTCACCAGAAATATTCTTAAAAAAGTATAGAAAATCCAGCATCAGTCCGGACGGTTTATGTTCATATGTGCGGTCAAACATCTGTGCGACTGCATGGGTTTCGCGCTGCTGCGGCACTGGTTTCAGTCCAAGTCCTGTCTTCATATGTATCGCATCAGTGCACCGCACCTTGCTCCCTACATTCATTCATGTGAACTTTTTATGAAGGGTACATATTGTTTTTAACAAGGATACTTAAGGGTTTTAAAAAATGGGTAAAATTAAAAAAATATAGATGAAAATAACTACCCTTGCTTACTGAATAATGTACACTCATTGTACAGTATAGTGATCTCATCAAATTTGCTGGAGGCATTCACTAGGTTTATTTATTGATGCAATATTATATTCTTATTTATCAGCATCTTATATGGTGAGCTATCATCATAAGTACTATAACATCTTCAATAGTAATAGAAAAAATATAATTCATAATTTGACTTGAAAATAAAAAAAAAATTGTCTAGCATTAGTTGGATTTCCTGTACATATTTATGATATTTTCTTGCACCGCATGTTTTATACATATACACTTCCGATAGAGAGAGAACTACAGGCTTGCTAATGTCAGTCATGAGAACTGCCAGAACGTGGGATGTATTTTTTGTTTCTTTGTCAATGGAATTTTAAATTAATATCTTTGTTATTGTATTTCTATTTTTTAATGCTTATCTTCAAAATTATTCTCTATACTGTACAGTATAACCAATATTTGACATTACCTTGGTATGTAAACTGTAGTCATACAATTATTTTGTTATAAACAGACTCACCCACCCCAACATTATTACAACCACATCTATACTATCCTGATACAGTACATACTTCACTTTAACGATTCATTACAATAACGACAGTAATGAAATGCGACACCTCAACACATTAACGATACATTTCAACACAATAACGATCAGTAACGCAAGTTGATAGTCACTCTGGGCGGCCATCTTGATGACGTCAGCAAGCAAGGTGGTTTGATTTGATCAGTGTGTGTGTGAACAGGTGTGGTGTAACCTACACACTTATGTGACCATGTTGCGTAACCTCTCTATCTGTGGTATGGTGAAGAGTAGTGTGAGTGTGGGGTAGGGTGACAATAGTGCATAGGGGTGAATTTCTAAAATTGATTAAATGGAATGGCCATTGGTCCAATACTGCGTACCCATGAAAAAAGAACACAGGCGAAATCCTGGGTCATTTGGACAATATTTAGAGGTAGCTCAAGTCAATTGAAGTTTTATCCTTTTGGCAAAAAATACGAATATTCATAATATGCAGGTTTATTTTAAAATTTACATATTGAGCAAGTTTATGTGTACACTGTACATATAAATGATTAATTCCTTTTTAAAATGAAACTGCAGTGAACACGCTTACATCAATGGGTGGGAGAGGTGTGGACAACCCATTCATTGTTTTCGCTTTTTGCTTGTAAGGTCCTGTTTTGATGTCCCTGGTTGTGACCGCCTCTGCTCTTCAACAACCTGCAGCAGATGTTGACGCTGGTCTTCACTCTTCGTGATCTTGCTGTTGAATGCCTGTATCAAGGCAATCCCTCTCTCTGCAGTGTCGTTGATGACTCTGAGACCACCCACAACTGCGACGCCAGTTTTGAAGTCTTCATCATCAGACCATGTGTCAGGTTCCTTGGACAAAAAAGAAGTCTTCATTTTGAGACTTTCAAATAGAAAGTTTGATCCTCTAGAAGCAAAGTCTGAGAGCTGCTTTGTGGGAAGGGAAGATGTGGCAGGAAGAGCAGCACGTTTTGGTGAATCCTCGGTCGCCTTCCTCTCAACGATTGCCCGAACTATGTTTGTCTTCATTGTTGCATTAACTTGTGGATCGAAGAGTGCAAGACCCACCAAGCCTTCACTGAGGTACCACAGGTGACGACCGAAGACTGTGAGACATGTTCTTGATATTTTGACGTCGTGGTACTCTGACAGGTCTTGGAGGAGCTGCAAATCATTAGCAGGAGCGGAGGATGGAACGGAGGCCGTGAACCATGCACTGACATACACCTCTAGCACAAAGAATGTGAATCGTTTCAAGCCTAATGTCTCACGAGCAGTTAGTTTAAACTGATTAGCAAAAATCAGGATCTTCATGACATAAATGAGCTTAGCCATCCACCGTGCTCGGTGAAGTGCTCCGGGCTTTTCGGAGGTTAAACTTGGGTAGAGCTCCATCAAGACACCTGATTGCTAGCTCCAGTACCTCACGGTAATCATCACGTGGCTGCTGCTTCTTGCCCAGATGATGTTTCCAGCAACAGATGAGGTCATCTCGTTTCTCGTACAAACTTGGAGGGAGGTCTGAGAGAGGGCTGTAGTCATCTTGACTGATGTCCTTCCACTTATGCTTGAAGCGAGAGAAGAGAGTATTATCTGATCCAGAGGAAGGCCCCATGCATTCCACATACGCTTTCTCGGCAACAAGCTCAAGGATGTGGTGACGACACGCGAGATGCAGAAGACGGCGGCCGAGTTTCTGCTCCAGAATGACACATGCCCCCGACAAGTGCCCAGTGTTTGAAGCTGTTGTGTCAAAACTGAGTGCTGAAACATTCTCTGATATTTTCCACTCTTCCAGCGCTGCACTGACTGCTGTAGCAATGGCCTGTCCAGTCCCTGACAATAGTTTCGGGACACCAAGCAGCTTTTCAGTATTGATTCCGGAGACAAGAATGGCGATTCGGTCAACACTCGCTCCTTGTTCATCAGGAATAATTTTTCCATCCCAGTGCACAGTGAGCACTTCACTAGGTTGAAATTTTTCTTTAATTTCGTTGGCAATCCCAGAACGGTGGGTCGCTCGCGAAGTACGCACTGTCTCATAGTTTAAAACTAGTTCCATTGGGTCATGACCTAGACTAGCAGCCGTGGCACTGACGATCCGGAGAGCAGAGCGGTGACTGATCCCAGTGCGGTCCAATGTACTTGACAATTCAGGGGTGATAACTTTGAGAGTAGCACGTTTACGATTGGAAGAAGATACCACTGGTGATATCGCTAGGGAACTTGTAGATGATGACGAGCTTGATTGTGATTCTGTTTCAGACGAAGAACCCAACTCATCATATTCAAGAGCAGAACTGGCTTGATTCTGTTGTAGAGATTGCTTACTCTTGCTTTCTTCCCGACGCTTGATGGAACAAGCAATCTTTTTGTCTACTCCTGCCATTACACCTCTTCTCCCTTTTTCTCGTTGCGCTGCCAGGAATGCTCGGTCTTCTTTGATGGTCAAGAGCTGCATTGCCTTGGGGTGGGCAACATCGAAGAGGTCCTCTAACTCATCACAAAAAGTTTCCTCTTTCTTACGTTGTGTGTCTGTAGTGCGAGTGCAGTTTTTCTTAAGTCCCTTCCACATTAAAAAAAGATCCACTACCTTTCGTCCAATACTCTTCTCAGTTATGGTAGGAATCCGTGCTTTATTCCAGAAACTAATAACCGATGCTGCAACTTCACTCGCAGAATCATTCACTGTTTTCTTATGTTCATTGTGACCGTGGAAAAACAGACGTAGAACATCTCCTCTTGAAGGAAGTTGTGCACCCGTGATTTCGGTTATGTGTTGACCAATGAGCCAAACTTCAGTTTTTGAACGTGTACTCTCCATTGAACCTGAAACAAACAAAAACATTTATGTAACTTATGTTGTTACTGTTATGCAAACAACAGCACCCATAAAGCATACGGCATGCAAGATCACTTGTATAAAGTTTTTAAAGTGTTATATACCTAAATTGATGCATTGATTTTAGACAAAGACAATGGTACTAACCGTAATACTGCAACAAGAGCGACGCACACACACCCACCGTCACGTCTCACACACAACTGATGCTACTGTACCAGTCAGACACTGGCACACAACCTCTTCCCCCTACCCAGACTGACACCCGCCTCTCCCTCCCCTCTGCATTGCCAATAGCTGCACCAGCCAAAATACTCATTACTCATTTTTAGAAAAAATTTTAGGAACAACTTTAGTTTGAATTTGCATTCTACATATACCTGCAAAGTTTCATAGTAATCGGTTCATAAATAAAGAAATTAGAAAAAATCAATAATAATTTCAGTAGTGTTAACTTCAAATGGCTTGAGCCACCTCTAAATATTGTCCAAATGACCCAGGATTTCGCCTGTGTTCTTTTTTCATGGGTACGCAGTATTGGACAAATGGCCATCTAAAAATAAAAACTTTCACTTTTTATTGTCACCCTATGTGGGGGCAGGGAGGCACAAACACCACTCCCCTGCCTCAGAAGACAGCAAACACTCTCATTAAGCAGTTCAATGAGTGTCTAAAGGTTAGCTATTAGTTACATGTATTAACTCTGCATGCAGTATTAATGTGCATGAATAAAAGGTTGTAATTTTTTGTGTGGTTATAGGGGGTGAATGTGTCTGAGGGCTGGTACCAATTGACCCACTTAGCATGTAAACTATACTCACTACATTAACGATTTTCACTTTAACGACCGTTTTTATGGTACCAATTAGTCGTTAAAGTGAACTATGTACTGTACTGTCTATTAATAGAAGTAGGAATGATATCTCATGGTTTATCAAACAAATGATTACAAACATAGATATTGCTAAATCCTGGTGCAAATTCATGTTACACAAACACACACTGTCCTAACAACTCTAGACATACAGATTTTGAAGCTTTCTCAGTATTTAGGCTTTTTATTTAGAATTTACATAGAGTATTCACTGCCATTTTGTTGAGGATTTCCTCTAAATGATAGAGTATAAAGAGCATAAGAGTTAAGTGTGTTTTGCAGGAACCGCTCAGTCACTAAGATTATTGTGCGAGGCTGTACAAGATGAAGCAGACTTAAGAGATAATGGAATATGGGGAACATGCTGTGTAAGTGTCACAGGATAGCTCAGGAAGATTCATCAACCCTAATGGCTAAACATTACCCCTAGAACATAATTCACTAATTAGTTTACATAAAGATCCCCAATCACTGCTGGGAAGACAGGCAAATAGTGTAAAGGAAACTGGCAATAGTTCCACCCCATCTAGGCATTGTATCTTGAACCTAAATTTGCAGGGAAATTGTGCAACCTACTACCATACAGGAATTAAGCTGCCAAATAATATCTTGAGAAAAGGATTAGTATTTGGAAGCATCATTCAACTGAAACTGCCTTATGTAAAATTCATAATGATTTTGTAATAAACACTTGCACAGGAAAGTCCTCTCTCCTGGTTTTGCTGGATCTCTGCAACTTTTGACACAGTGGATAATCATCTGTTGCTTCATGATCTTTGGTCGTTTGGTGTCTGTGAGAATGCACTCTCACTGCTTGAGTCTTACTAGTCAGAGCAATCTCAATGTGTGATGGTTAGTGGAACCATTTCAGACCCAATCCCTTTGCAGTTTGGGGTCCCATGGGGATCAGTTTTGGGATCACTTCTGTTACAATCTATACCAGTCGTCTTGCATCTCTGTTGGATGCTCATGGTGTTGCTTATCATTTATATGCCGATGATACACAGCTTTATGTGAAAATAATAAATATTGAGGATACTGATGAGATAATGATATCCATGATGCCTGATATTAAGATTCGGATGGCTAGAAGAAAGCTTAAGCTCAATGACGGCAAAACTGAGATTATCCTCATCCAAGGAAATAGGAGGGGAGGTGGCACAGATGATTTTGGCTCTTTAAACTTTGAGGAAGCTCAAATCATTTCTGATGAATCTGTTCGTAATCTTGGAGTGTACTTTGACTCAAAACTGATTTTTAAAGTACATATAAATTAATTAGTTAAGAGTTGTAACTTTCATATTTGAAATCAAAATGTTGCTAAACAGTTTTGGATAGACAGTGTCTCATCACATTATTACACTCATTTATTTTGTCTTGGGTTGACTATTGTAACTTTACGGGTCTGCCTACCTAATTATCAACTGAAGAAAGTTCAGACATTGATGAAAAGGGTTGTCGTGCCTATTTTTGCTCTCCCACCGAGAACGCTCACTACCCTATTCTCGATCAAATTACAGTGGCTTCCAATTAAAGCTAGGATAGAGTTCAAACTCTGTCTAATGACTTTTAAGCAGCGTTGTACGCGTCAACGAAAAAAAGTGGCGCCATCAGCGTAAACGGCCAAGAAATTTGATGCCGTCGGCGTAAACGATTTCATAAATTGATGCCATTAGCGTCAACACCTAGCGTCAACGAGTTTTCAGTGACGTACAAATGCAGCGCCGAAATGCGTATTCTCCTGTGTATGGGAGTAACATATGCAAAATCAAAAAATATTCATTCATCTTTAATCATTTATTATGAGTTATATTATATCATTTTAATTATTCATTTGTTCCCCCGCAAGAATACTCGCATCTCAAAATGTTTGTCACTAATTCTGCTGCGCTTGGGCCTCAAGACATCCTTGCCCACGGAGAACATGCGCTCCATGGCAGCACTAGAGGGGTTGGGGGTGTTGTATTTGGTGAACAACTCCCTCATGGCCTTGTTGGGGAAGGTGTCCTTGTCGAAAGTTTTTTTCGAAGGTTTCTCCCCCAGGAAACGCTTGTAAAAGTCACTGTCTTTTTCATTCCTGCGGGGGGTCTCGTACAGGGCCTGGAACAATTTGTTCTCTACGTGATGGTCTTTGTCGTCTCCCTCACTGCTGCTGCCGCTCCCAGTCTCGTGCACGGACTTCTCCACCAACTTTGACAGCTGGTTGGTGGCCTTTTTCCTGACGAACAAATTGACGCTTGACGCTCCGCTAGGGTGAAAAGTTGACTGCGTCACTTGCCCAAAAATTTATGGCGTCAGCGTTAACAGAAAGTTGCCGCCATCCATTGACGACGTTAAATTAACGGCGTCAACGTACAACACTGCTTTTAAGACAATAATGTTTGGTTAGCCTAAATATTTGGCCAACCTACTAATTCCACTGATTACACATTTTGAAATAATTTTGCATAGTAGTGATGATCCTTCATGCCTTGAGGAGCCTAGAGCAGTACGGAATGTTCTTTTGCTGCTCGAATCCTTTTCTATACAGCACTCAGATTGTACAATCGGTTGCCTTCATCCATGAAGCAGTTGACTTGTGAAGGTCTTTAACCCTTAAAACTTGGGTGACGTTCATTCAGGCGACCTCAGGTGGAGTTCCTCAACGCTTTTAATTTTTATGGCATATTTTGAATGTCCAGGCGTGTCAAAATACTTTGTATTGGATATTTGTTTAATTGGCAACTCAACTCACGTGTAATCTTTGTCTAAAGACTCGTGCTTCGTGGTCAGTTACCCACCAACTGTGGTGATGGATGCAAGTTCTTCGACTTCTGTTCAGCATTTGAAAGTTCTTTTGAGTATAGTTGTAATATTTTGTGTTTTGTTGTAGTTATAAGATAGAAATATGATATAAAGGTGCCTTCAAGTAAGAATTGTGTGTTGCAAGTGTGTGTCAACATCTCTTCCCGATCACTGTGTGCTGCAGCTTCAAACAAGACATCTTTCATCATTCCACACTGCTCATCAACACTCCTGACAACTCTCTAACCATGCTACAGTAAAAGTTGAATGTAAGTACATTCTTCTGGTTTTTTTTTCTTATATTGATTAAACCCATTTATAAAGTGACAATGGATTTTTTTTTTTAGTTTTCTTTTGCCGAAATATGTCCGCGTGGGGTGGGGGTGTTTACGGGATAAGAAACAAGTTAAGACCATTCTTTTTGGGATCCTAAAAAGGGTATGGTGATGTAGGGTTTAGGAAGTATTAAAACTTAAGGGTTTATGAATGATAGAAGTCGAACTCTCACTTTTTGTGATCCTTTATTGTAGTACAATAGCATTTTTTTTTATTCTTAAAACTTTGACTTTGCAGTGTTTCGAGCACTAGTGAATCCTGTAGAAGAACTAGTGCTTTTGAAAAACAAAAGACCAGCTATTATTATTAATATAAACAATAGTTGCCTAAGTGAGGTAGACCTAGTTTCACTTACCTTCTGGCCCAGGTAGTTAGGGCTACTGCTACAAGTGCCAACCCAGACCACCAAGCTAATAGTGTTAATCTGGTGGGTGCCTCTATTATTAAATCCAAGAGCCAAAGAGGTGTCCATTTTCCAAGTAACAATGATGATACTGCCACCCCAGCTGTTCCACACACACAAACAAACGGAACAAACATTCGAGCAGTGTGCAAAAGTGGAAGCTTATACAGGCCAACCACCATAGAGGAGAATATAAGTACTGCTGTCTGAAAGTGAAAAAACACAGTATTAATACAGGTACTTAGCTATGGTACTGTACTGTATGTGATTCTCTTGCAACTTCTTACAGTCTTCTTATTAGTTTGGAATGAGAAGAGTTAAGGTGTCAGTAAACATATTACAGACAGTGTAAAACACAGAATATGCTTCCATCACAATTAAAGGCTAAAATAAAATAAAATTTGAAATGCGTCTACTGAAAAAAACAATCTACCGCTCCCAATAGATAAATACAGAAAAGAAAATTAATAGGAAATCTAATTGTAGATCAGAAGCACACACTCATTCACATACTAGTAGGCAAAATTTGAATACTGCATGTCATTAAAAATAGATCTTTCTCCCAAATTTTAAATTTGTATTATTTCTCGGCTGGGATGCAACAGCCTGGACTCTCAGCTCATCATCCACAGAAGTAGTAACCTTAATAAGACTACCGATCTACAACTCTTGCTGCACACACCTAAAGGGTTGATATCCACAGGATAGATCAGGATCAGGGCCCCAAGATCAACTGTCAGTTTTGGGTTAGGAGACAAAGCCTCTCCATTCCGTGGGAAACAACTTGCCTGGAAACACAGAAGCTCCTCATCTCTGGGTTTAGGAACACAACCAGAAAGGCAACCTCTTCTCCCTCATATAACATCTCTCATGAAATACATCAATTCTCCTCAGGAGAACCAAGACTGCTGTGGACTGGGGCCCACTTTGTAAAATTTAATCACAAGCTCACTATTCATCAGGGTCAAATTCATTCAAAACACAACAAGCATCATGAATTGGACACTTATGGTTATCTTGAGTATGAAATACTGTAATAGCTTACAATCTCAGATACATAGATTCTTATTGACTCGTCTGAACACAAACAAGACTACACTCCAAACCATCAGTCTTAAGTAAACAAGCAAAATTGTGCTCATAATACGTAATCATAAGACACAGTAATGTGAATTAACAGACATACCTGAACAAACAGACTAATCTTCTGAGAGTCTGAGAGCATCCTTGGCATCAATATGGAGGTGAAAATGTTACACAGGGAGCAAGTAATGGCTAGGGCTCCTGTCTGGCCCACCACAGCTCCCTCCCCAAGACTGAAGCTCCCAGGGAAACTCCTGAACAACCAATGTGTCAACTCATAGAGAATCCATGCACATAATGTTGTTGCCATTATTGCACCAATGGGGTCTGTTAAGAAATTATAATTTAGTTATTTATCATATACAGTACAGCATATCCAACTTTAAAATGAGTGTATTCTGATTTATAAAAGGCACTTGAATAATTTACTATTTGTCCATCATATCTTTGACACCCATTATTAAATGACAATTCTTTTTCCACACACACATGTACAGTATTTTAAAACAGAGTATATTTACAGCTGATAATTTAAACAAGAACAAAATGTACAATTCATCTTGTAGACTACCTACTGACCAGGGATAGATATGGAGGTAAAAGTAAGTACATACACACTATGTACCTAGTTCTTGAGCCATAATTTTATATGTTCATATTCAGTGGTACGTAGAAAATTTCTTTTCTAATCCAATAAAAATTCCATTTCACTGAAATCTTTTTTTTTAATATCTAATCATGTCCTCTTTCTTCTCCTACACCCTAAGTGTATACCCAGTTCCTAAAAGGCGTTTCCATCATCGTACCTGACACCTGGGACTGGTCTTACAACTGCTCATCCCTTTGGAACAATCTTTTTAATAAGTGGATTCCAAGCAAAGGTTGCCCACTAGAGGTATTGTATAAAAGTTGGTGTGATGAGTGTACAGGCTAGATCGGGGGTTCCCAAACCTTGGGTCGCGACCCCAAATGGGGTCGGAAGGCTCATTAGGTAGGGTCGCAAAGAGGTCGCTGGGGTCCTTTGGATCTGCCAGTGAAATGATTTGGGGTCGCACTGGATAGTTGACAACACTGGATGGGGTCGTGCAAGAAAAAGCTTGGGAACCCCAGGGCTAGATAGACACAATTGAGACTGTCTTAGACCTGCTTTTAGAGAGCAAACTTTACTTCTCATCCATTCCTTTTAAAGAATAGTTGTATAAAGGAAGGGATGGGCATTTCCAGGATCAGTCTCCAGCTGCCAGTTAGGGATTTGTCTACCATCCTAGATCTCTAAAAGAGTTTGTGCGTCAACAGGAGCTGCCTAGAAGTGGGTATTCTGCTAGAACTTACAGATTTAGAACTGACCACAGTATATAAAATACAAGATAAGATTTGATTACAATTACAATACTAGTTAATTTTTTTGAATTGACATCCGTCCTTTTCTAACAAATAACAAATGGCTATCTGATGCTTACTCACGGATTTCAGTGAGAAAGGAGATGGCAACTGCAGTGACTAGTGCAGGAGTGTATGGGTGGAAGAGGAATCTCAGAAAGAGGGAAGAGGTTTGGGTGTTATCTTGACTTTCTGTCTTGTGGTGACTTCCTGACACACACATCTGCTTGTACAAGTGGATACCTGACACTCCAACCTGGTTATGAGCAGAAAGTCATTAATAACCTGCAGGTCATGAGAAGGCAGCAGACCAATAAGTAGCACTACAGTGTGAATGCCTTCCATCAAAACACAAGTTGTCTGATGACAATAGGGATCACCTTCTGTGCATAATAATGTCACAATTCAAATGTAAGATTAATTGGGTTAAAATTTACTGAAACTGGCTTGGACATGAAATGCAAACATTTGTTTATGCCACAGCAACAATAACAAGATTTGGGTATAACATAAGCTTTACTGAACTTCATGCAAGCAAGTTGTTCATGCTCAGAATGACTAATGGGACAATAGAACTCAGGGTTTTTTTTAAACTTGCATCATTATGAGCACTTGTGTAATAATTAGCATCATTAGAAGAACTTGTATGACACCTAACTGTTACAATAAGCATTTGTAGGTTACCCTGAGGACATTACCAACATTTCTAAGATATCAGAAAGATTATAAAGTCCCAAATACATGTACAGTAATATCTCCGTTAGCTGGAATCCCTCAAACCCGGAACTCTCCGATAGCTGGAATTTAAATTTTCTCTGAAAATCGTTCCCAAAGCCAGAATATTCCGGAAAATTCCGGCTCTGAGAACGATTTTCCGAGGGGCACATTTTCTGGAAAATTCTGATAAATTTTTCCCAATACCCGGAAAATTCCAAAAAATTTGGGGATGGGGGATTTCTTTCCGGGCTTGAGAGATGAAAATCGGGCACATTTTCTGGAAATTCCGAGAAAATTTTTTCCATTACCCGGAAAATTCCGGTCATGAGGGATATTTTTTCCGGGTTCGAGAGGTGATGTAAAGGGCAATTTTTTTAACTTCCGAGAACATTTCTCCGTTACCCAGAAAATTCCGGGGATGAGGGATTTTTTTACGGCTTTGAAAGAGTCATCTCGTTACCCGGAAATCTCTCATTCCAGGAAGTGCTCTGCACCAATTGTTAAGGCTAACTGGGATATCACTGTATATGGTTATAACTCTTGACAAAAATGGTGGGGGTAAATTTTCTAATGCATGTACATTGCCACCTGCTGATGCTCATGCCTACCAAGTTTGGTGGGGATAGAATTTATATTTCTGGAAGAGTTGTGGACAAAATAGAAAAACTTAATCTATGGCCAACACCATCATACAATGTGCCTTGTTGGAGGTGAGTGTATAAAATGGTCTTCACATCCAAGAAAATGACTAATGCTAATAAAACATATTGTAAGTGTTACAAGAATTGAAGACATTTCTATTGCCATTTTCCTACCTGCTAAAAATTCATCACATTACTCTAATTAAAAAAAAATTAAAATATTGCATACTGTATAAAAAAATAAATTTTGCAGTGATAATTTTCTGATGTTATGCAAAATTGTATTATAATGTAGAAATACGTTCAATATTAATTACCTGAATTGCAAGAAGTGCTAAGAGACGTGATGGTGGGTAACAATGGATGTAAGCTGTGTAAAGGCCAGAGCTACACGCTAGTGGTACCAGCAACATTAGCCACACTCCAGGAGATGCACCATATCTGCCACAACAAGATGGAAGGTAATGACACACATTTGTTATGTGCTACTGTATTTATTAAGAAAAACAATGTCACAAAATTTTTAGAAATTAAAAAAAAAAAAAATTTGAGGGTAGCTAAAGAGGATCATCTGAAGAACCTTCACCCCAGCGTATTTCACCTAAAGATTATCCCTAATGCTATTTGGGGGGATAGGGTTACATTTGGTATAAGTTAGGTTAAGATAGGACATTTAAGTTAAGATAAGTTAAGTTAGGTTAGCATTAGGGAGGTTAATCTTTAGGTGAAGATTTTTTAGGTGATCTGCTAAAGATTTCCAAATTTAACTAATGAAGACAAAAGGGAATGAAAGTACTGTACAGTATAATCTTCATCTTGGTGCTGCATACACAGAAAAGTCACCGGACAGACCAGTCTCCCTTCAAACAGTTACACTGACACATGCACCAACACAACTTTGTATTGGCTTTTATCATATTCCAAATAATCCTATTTAATGAGGGTGTTAATCATATTATTCTCTTTCAACTCTACTTGACTGACCTTTCTTAAATCCTCTTATCAATAACACTTTATCAGATTCTCATTATCCTCCTCCTCCTCCTCCTCAGAAGTCACTTATATTGTTTATATACTGTACAGTAAATTTTGGTGAGGACAACTATGATGACAATAATGATGATGATTTTCTTGAGTGCCAAGTTGCTGTAAATCATTAAACCCTTACCTTGAGGACAAATTAACTTTTATACAGGTCCCTCATACTGTACTGTATATTCATTTTAATGGTTACATCCCCTTAAAAACTACCATACCTCACTCCCATCCCAAAAATGTTCTTACACATTTCTAAACAATATTCCCTAGCATCTTCTCTGATTAGGAGACACTACCTTTCATTAGGTTTCGTTTAGTACGGGCAAATTCAGTTAGACAAAACTGGATCAGGTTAGGCTAGTTTGCTTAGGATTAGGCTAGATTAGATTAGTTAGGATAGATTAAAACATAGTGTAAGATACAAGAGAAAATAGATATAAAATTACCTTAGCATAAGTACGACAGTGATCATACACAAATCAAAGACTAATTTACCGAGTGTTGAGATGGTCCAGGTGCAGTGGGCTCACACTGGGCAGCTTACTGGCAATATTCATCATTGCATTGGAGAAAGGCATGGTGCAGGTGATTTTCATCAATATGTACCTAATTTCTTCTCTGTTTCATTATCTGTTGGTAAGTTGTAGGACTTTCAAAACAGAATATACAGGTGTCTGGTACATTTATCTAATCTAGTCCCTAATAGATGGTAAAATGGAAGATGTTAGTCCATAGACTCCAAAAATTTCTTGACAACGACCTCCTGATTAAGTAAACTGTATTAAGTAAACTGTGTTCGCCCAAATGAAGTTTATGGTTCGCTTAAATGAAGTAAAAACTTTTCTTCCAATGATAGCCATTAATATCTCACAAGTATACAAGATGATACCTGCAGTGATTATGATATTGGAGATTGCTCCTGTAGCTTTAGGTGTTGCAAAGTTTTTACAAAAATTTTAAGAATGCAAAGGGGCCCCGCAGTGGCTGAATTGCTCCACACCCTTCTAGGGACGGCCCTGGAAGGATGTGCATAAGGTGAATTTAATTTCATACACAACCAAACTTGTTTAAGTTTAGTAGACATGATCTGGACACGACCAAGATACAGCAAAACAAAATTGATGGATTTTAAGTTTGCTAAAACCAAAACTAAAAACAGAATCACTTTTTCCTCTACCTTTGGTTAAATAAGGTTTTTTTTTTTGTATAGTACAGGACCTTCCTAGGTTACGTCAGGTCTTTAAAGGTTTATTTTGTGTTTTTTTTTCTTATTTTATCCTCATGTTTTCCCTCACCTTCAAAGTCCTGTCCACTTTGTAAGAAATCATTGTCATTGTTTAAGGGGTCATATCTACATAAATAAGCATTTCCCACAGAAATAAAGGTCATATTTCTTCAAATCACCATAAAATACATCAGAAAAACCTATTTCATTTATTAAATTCCCATCTTGGCATAAAACTAATCTTACTGCTGTAACCATGACCTGAACCCACAAGAAATCATAAATGTTAAATCATGCAAAAAGTTTGCCAGTGCACTTTTTGTATCTGTCATGAGGTAAGAAAGCATTAATGTTTTTTGGTGGAATTTAATACAGTAGGTAGTTAAGGAGTAAAACTCATCTGGAATATTACCAACTGGGATATACCAGCTATTAGTTTTGCCACAAGATATAGGTACCTCAGCTGTAAGCGAAATGTCAATGCTTATTAGTGCGGCAGCCTAATGAGTGGTGGACAAACTATACAAAGATAGTTACTAAGACGGCCTTCTGTTTGACTAACCTAACCTAACCATTTACAAGACAGTCCGTCAATACGGTTGCAGTACCTACAGCATATCCAGTGTAAATTTTGGCATATGGCTGCTGTACCTCTATCCAATATGATAAGTTTTATGCACTTAATTTTTTATTTACTTTAAAAAGTAGTAAGGAGATTATACAGTAGATCCTGTTAGCTGGTGCAGTTCCATTTTCCATAATTTTACCAAATGTAGGGTAATATTGCAGTTAACAGCAACCATAGAATTTCGGAAATTCACTACACTCAATCGATAGAACTATTTTTTCTATGAAAATTTTCTTAGGTGAAATTTTGATCTTGCACCGGTATTTCTCTCGCTGTTATTAATGTTTTTCTTAATGTTCAGACAATTCTAAGACCTTTTTCTTCTGTGATATTTCTGCCGGAAATTAAGGATAACCGAGATATTAATTTTTCAATGTTATAAGATTTGGTCAGTCACAAGTGTCGCCATTGTTGTTTTCGTCTCACAGAGAAGGTCTGACCACCCATCATGCAGTGCTCCTTACCTCCGTGTTGGCTTCCTAAGCGTCTACAGCGCATGTGCGGGGGAAGGTGTGGGAGTTTTTTATTAACTATAGCAATAGGAGATTTATGATTGGGCAAGAGTTTTTTGTCTTAGCCAACGAACAATGTGTGGGTGCGTCGGGAGCGGAGATTTGATTTTTAAGGACCAGAATAACCAGATATAGCCGAACAGGTGGAAAGACCTGTGCCGACATATATCAGAAAAATAGTGTTAGGTTAGGTTTGGTTTTGTTGTTTTTTATTTGTGATTTACTCGATAAAAAAAACAAATTTTCGTAAAGATTAATGGGTGGGGAAGGGAGGGGGGATCTCAAAAACTATTGATTTCTGGCTGAAATGAATACAAATTTGTTCGAAACTCATCAAATAACATCGGAAAAACATATTTTTAATATCCAAACAAAGACCGGTGCATTAGTGAAAATTGACCTTTTCTTATATTACACTTCCGTCGCAAATTGATAACAAGGAAGGTAAGAAATAACGTAACGTGGAGGCTGACCAAGCGCTTCTGGGTTATTACATAGTGTCTGGGGGTCCTAGGGGTTAAGTAAGGTTTAGTTTGGTTATATTGTATAAGTTAGCAAGCACAGAGTACCAGGAATTCAGACCACGCAATCGATCAAACTATTATTTCTACTATTTTTTTTGTAAATAACAGAATTTCTGTTGCGTAATGTGTTCTTCTGATGTTTTCTTGTTGTGATTTGGACAATTTTGGAATTCGCTTCTGCCACAAATCACTCATTTTAGCTCCCACCCCCCAGAACCCCAAATTCCCACGCTTCCCCCATTATTGTTAGAACCAATCACATCAAAAACCATCAGAATATTTTTTATCAGATTCTTTGGTTGCTGTAATCTGCAATTTTACCAAAGTGAGACTGAACCACAAAATTATGGGTTGTGGTAGCAGGTATAGATACATTCTGGAGCCACTACATGCCCATTACTTGCCAAAACTGGCATTCCTTTAAAGTTTTGTCAAAACACACTGTATTATAAGGAAGTCCCTCTAATAGAGTCTATACACCACTCTAGTATGGTCCGACTAATTACCCAAATGTACCCAAATGTAGCCAGAATGAAGTCAAGTGATGGTCGTACAAACGTAATTCGGGCTGTGAATCACTTCTCGATTATTATTTGGTGTCATAAAGTCAAAAAAAATTGGTAAACTTAATTTAATCTGAGTTGTGTTGTGTTCGGTTAGGTTAGATTAGAATAGATTAGGTTAGGTTAGGTACATGCACTTGATCTATTAACTCAGATTAAATTTAGTTTACCAATTTTTTTTGACTTCGTGACACCAAATACTAGTCGAGGTTAGGTTAGATTAGGTACATGCACTCGATCTATTAACTCAGATTAAAGTAAGTTTACCAATTTTTTGTGACTATCTGACACCAAATACTAGTCGAGAAGTGATTAGCAGTCCGATTTATTCATCTAGGACCATCATTTGACTTCATTCTGGCTACATTTGGGTACATTAGTCGGACCCCTCTAGTACTCTTGATATGGTGTTTCTTGGCACTGGTCTTCATCCTCCAGTCATCACTCTGTCTACAACCAACACCTTTGGCACTTGTACTATACGAGGCTCCTATCTAATGGAAGATCGTAAAAGAGAAACATTCACCTGTCAGTCATACTCCACTACTATTGTACACGATAACATTAACAGTAATACTAGATAAGAGAGAACACTGTTAACGGTCGAGTTGTACCTTGTGATCAACAGAGGGCAGGAGTATTAGTGATAGTTCTTAATGCAAGGTTTTTTTAGACTCCTTTCTATTAAAGTAATTCTCGTGCAAAAGTAACTAAAACACTTTACCCAGTTTTGAATATAGTTTGGGTGTGACGTGTGAGATGTATGGATTGATTTGGATACCTCATAAAAATGCACTCAATTAATGCTAAATTATTTAAGTCTGGCGCTGATATATTCTTCTTTTCTTATCTTTACTTCCTTCACCACTGATAGGCCTGTTAGCCGCTTGGGCAGTCGGTCACGTCTCTTCTACACATCGTTGGCAAGTACTGGGCATGAACTGCTTCGAGAATACATCTCTCGGTGCCGTCACAACTCTGGCAGATTGTTCCAAGAGTTTGTAGTGGATTTCTCCCCTACAAATGCTTGTCGCTGAGTAGCCGACCCCGCGAATTCCCCAGTATATGCCTTGTGGTCTTGGTCAACCAGCGCCGCCTTACATGACGGAGGTCAACTATTAAGCCACGCCTACCTCCGCTATATAAGACCTGACCTCGTGGTGAACTACCTCTCTCTTTCTACCTACTGCCACCAGCAAGTAACACCTCCTCCTCCTCCTGCCTGGCGGCCGTTCGCTCCCGCCGGCGAGCATGGCGACCCATAAGCTGGTCCTTCTCTGAGCACCCTCACCAACCAGCTCTCTCTACATCACGCTTGTAACCACGCTGCCACTTCCCAGCACCAAGCTGCATTGTACATCCAATACAATATGTATACAGAGAACACATTGTGAGTTTCCTTTCTCCATCCCATCCTGAGTGTGAACCCAAACATCTCGTACCCCACAAATGGTGACCCCCGGAGTGACCACTCACACAGGATGGAGGAGAAACCGATCACTCTCCCAGTCTTCAAGCAACATGGAAGACTGGCTTATCCACACAGAGGCAGCTCTCATCGGCTCTACAACTACTGTCTCTACACCGCAGGTTAGACACCCTAGAGCAGCTCTGCTACTCTAAGCAGACAGCCGCTCCTCTTCCTGCCCCAAGCACCACGTCCTACCGACCCCAACACACCCGTCCTGCCTCAGACGCCGCCCCCGGCCCAGCAGTACCCCCTGCCGCTCCTCCTGACGCGGCCCCTGCTCCTGACGCAGACCCACACACCCCTCTTTTCTCCCTCAGGTACCCCCTGATACTGTCCTGCACCCTGCTGCTGTCGTGGACCCAGCTGCTGTCATGGACCCTCCTCCGCTCCTGCTGACGCAGCCCCTGCTCCTGACCCAGGCCCACACACCCCAGCAGGCGCATCTGAGGACTCTATACCTGTCGCGAGAAAAACACAACATTCATCACCTCCACAACCCTCCTTCTTCCTCTTTTCTCCCACAGATCTCGTGTATCTAGACAGAGTTGCCCCCCCTAGCGGCCGGCTCATCCATGCCCTCGCCGTTATGTCTCACATGTGGCATGCACCGCCCGTTCTGCCTCACATGTGCAATGAAACCCTGCAGACAACAAGTCTCCTACACCGCCTGGAGGGAAGGGGGAGTATTGTAGTGGATTTCTCCCCTACAAACGCTTGTCGCTGAGTAGCCGACCCCGTGAATTCCCAGTGTATGCCTCGTGGTCTAGGTCAACCAGCACCGCCTTACATGGCGGAGGTCAACTATTAAGCCACGCCTACCTCCGCTGTATAAGACCTGACCTCGTGGTGAACTACCTCCTTTTTTCTACCTACACCAACCAGCAAGCAACACCTCCTCCTCCTCCTCGGCTCCTGCCTTGCGGTTCCCGCGATAGCCGGCGAGCATGGCGACCCACAAGCTGGTCCTCCTCTGAGCACCCTCACCAACCAGCTCTCTCTACATCACGCTTGTAACCACGCTGCCACTTCCCAGCACCAAGCTGCACTGTACATCCAATACAATTTGTATACAGAGAACACATTGTGAGTTTCCTTTCTCCATCCCATCCTGAGTGTGAACCCAACATCCCGTACCCCACAAGTTCACAGCTCCCACTCTAAAAAAGTTAGCTCATGCATTTTCTCTGCATTTTTTTTTACTCTGCAATATATAGATTTTTGTAAGATGATAATGTTTTGTAGTAATCAAACCCCGTTAGGCTGTTAGCACGAAAAAAAATAATAGAATACAGGCCACCTTTTTGTTTAAAAATTGTCGACATTTTGTCTATATACTATTATTATTATTATTACCAATAGTGTAGTAGTGGTAGTAGTAACATTATATTTTCTTAAGTTATCCTACAACAGTCGTATATACTTTTAGTTTTCTGTGTATGATATTTCATGAGCAACTCAAACATCACAAAAGTTAAGTTGGAGGAGTATTGAGTTACCGCTCTTAACATTGATTTGTTTACCAGTCCTTATAGTAAACATTTACTTGAAATATTTAATATTTACTTCCTAAAGAAATAAAAACGAGAATGTCATTCATATAATATCTATTAATATGATAAGTTAAAATACTTCAAATTGGTAAGAGTCGTTATGGAAAGAGAAATGTAAAGATATATATAAGGTTTCATTTGTTTAGGTTCTGGCATCATTGAAGCCAAGTTGAGGGACACGCAGCACGCCATCACCAGCCAGGGCTCGGAGACACCGTGTTTATGAGTGACTCATTCTAGTATTCAGATGCCCTAAAGATGGCATCGCGAGCCGCTGCCCAAGACAACGTCGATACAGAAATTGATGGGATGGAAGATGACTTCGCCATTAAAAGAACAGAGGGTAAGTAATCATTATGACAGTTGACACTTGATGATATTAGCAGACGACGTCACGATCAGCTGTCATTTAGTTACGTATATATTTAATGAATGGCCCATGACATGTTGCCATTTTTATTTTGCTGCCATACTCATAGCTTGAGAAGTTTGTGAATACAATTAGCCCAAATCTACTGAACGTCTTGGTATTTTCATGTGTATCATTAGTGTTATGTTTAAAACCCGATGAATTTTTTCCCTCGATAATTGAATTTGTTAAAATAATTTTTGTCCATATTTGGCTTCCATAATGTATGTCGAATATTGAATACACGTGAAGATTGTACGTCATAGAATTATTAGCACCTATAATCTCCAGTGAATCGTTAGTCGTTAGTGAGAATTTATTTTATTCAATTATATGCTGAAGTTTATGACGTCACCTACGAATATTCTAGATTTCCAAACACTTATCTATGTAATTATTATATTCTTGACTTTATATAATATATCTAATTTGCTGTACTAGCATTGACAAAGGATTACTCATTAATGCTGAAGCTGCTGTTACGAAACCCACATCCACCTCCAGCCGGAGCTCTTGTCGAGATAGTGGAGCCAGATTTCTTAAGTGATGAAAGCCATTTTTCTGATACTTGGTGATATTTGTATCAGTTAATTTTGTAGTATTAATATTAGTTAATACCCGTTGTTTTTATTAAAATATTTTTCATCTGGCCTTTGATAAACTCCTCCAGGAATTAATTAGCCTAGTACGAAGTCCAGGTGATTATTAATTTTTTTATACGTCGATAATAAGTCATAACATGTACAATTATTACAATGTATCAGAACAATCGGCTTTCATTATTTAAATATACATGTCTAGGGAGTTCCGACAAGCGAAGGTCTGGGAATGGGATATAGATACAGTATACTGCAAAGTTGCCTTGTAAAATAAATGTATTCACTAAGCAATTTCCAAGGACATTTTCCGTGCATATAATAACGAGTTTGTTTCTCTAGACTTTATAACAGTCACGAAAAGGATTATGTGTTCGGTTATGTAACTGATTACAGTGTGATTATGTAATTTTTGTATGCGGGCTGGCGGTATCAGTGCCAGGTCACACATCGCTTAGTGCAGTACATTCGTATTAACATTCTCTCTCCACTGTACCAAATATGTTGTTTTAGTAGTGGAGAGCAAGGTGAATGGTGACTTGTATACTTCAGGCAGGATAGTATGATGTATTATACTTCACTGGGCAGAATAGTATGATGAATTATACTTCACCAGGCAAGAGTTAGGTGTGGCATAATATGCTTCAACAGGCAAGAGTTAGGTGTGGCATAATATATTTCACCTGGTAAGTGTTAAATTTAACATAATATGCTTCACGAGACAAGTGTTAGGTGTGGCATAATATAATTCACCATGCAAGTGTTAGGTGTGGCATAATATATTTCACCAGAAGTGTTAGGTGTGGCATAATATACTTCACTAGGCAGGAGTTAGGTGTGGCATAATATACTTCACCAGACAAGTGTTAGGTGTGTCATAATATACTTCACTAGACAAGTGTTAGGTGTGGCATAATATACTTCACCAGACAAGTGTTAGGTGTGTCATAATATACTTCACCAGACAAGTGTTAGGTGTGTCTTAATATACTTCACCAGACAAGTGTTAGGTGTGTCATAA